CAGCACTCCCTCTTCGTTGCAAGCCCCCCCTCGGCACTGAATCTCCAGTCGGTCGGAAAATCTTACCCACAAGATTCGTATATAGACATAGGTCAGAACTTCCCACCCCCATTACTCGGTCAAAACTCATCAGATTTTCATAGGGTTTGTCTTTTTATGAATAGTTTTCCCTCTAGATTAATCTGGCATTAAAATCTGAACACATAATTTTTAGTCGAAATTCATGTCAAAATCTTACTCTAAGACTCGTATATAGACATAGGTCAGAATTTCCCACCCCCATAACTCGGTCAAAACTCATCAGATTTTCATAGAGTTTGTCTTTTTATGAATAGTTTTCCCTCTTTATTAATCTGGCATTAAAATCTGAACACATAATTTTTAGTCGAAATTCATATCAATATCTTACCCTAAGACTCGTATATAGACATAGGTCAGAATTTCCCACCCCCATAACTCGGTCAAAACTCATCAGATTTTCATGAGGTTTGACTTTTTATGCATAGTTTTCCCTCTGGATTAATCTGGCATTAAAATCTGAATACATCATTTTAAGTCGAAATTCATGTCAAAATCTTACCCATAAGATTCGTATATAGACATAGGTCAGAATTTCCCACCCCCATTACTCGGCCAAAACTCATCAGATTTTCATGAGGTTTGGCTTTTTATGCATATTTTTACATTAACAATAAATGTATCTCTTATAACTTATATGTATATGATATATGATCTCTGTATTCTTCACTTACATCACTTATTACTTCTTATAGCATATCGATATTACAATAAGCAATCCATTTTTTATATCCCACTATTTCCCTGTTCGTGTGGAAGTGTTATACCGATTTTCCCTAGAGAACAATTTTATGCCAATATTGTTTGGTCTTGAACAACAAAAGAGTTCTTGATAAAGAACTTAATTTGTCAGCGATCATATCTATGACAGCTACTGGAACTGAGAGAGTTTTCATACTTTTTATACTGATCAGGATAACACAAGTTTTAGTCTCACATTATTTTGGGTTATTCGATAAGAAAAGTATGTTGTTGAATTTGATGATGTCAGATGAGACTATTTTTTATTTGATTGAACTGAGGCAGCATATTGCAGTTCTCAGTATTAGCCCCCGAATTGCTCGTCCGTCTTCTTTGAGACATTGGAATGCTGAAAAATACATATATATAGTATTATACTCAAGGGTAATTCGATGTCTCACTTTTGACCACTGGACTAAAATATTTTAAATAGTCAGAAACTTGCTCGTTGAGCTTTGTAAAAATAATGTTAATTTTCTGTTGCAGTGTGAACTGAATAATGAAGCATCAGAATTTAAAATATTTGCAATTTCTTATCAAACACATTAGTTGAATTTGAGCTATAATGGGTTTTTAGAATAAGAGATTGCTGATTTTTCTGTTATCAATTTAAAAATTAATTTATTATCTGTACAATATAAGCCACATTACTTTTTTGCAGTACTTCACTTTGTGCAGGATTTGGCTAGATTTGGTGTACATAAGACACTTTTGATACTTTGGACCCATAAAAAATGGATAAAAATACAAAGTTATACAAACATTCTTAATTCGTGGTCTTTGATCCACTCTGATAATTACTAGTTGCTAGAATTGTTTTAAAAAAATCGGATTTACAAAATAGTTTTGTTTTATTTTGAAAGTCAACAAAAAATAAATTAAGGCTTAAGCAACTAAATCACAATCAATGGCTATTATTATTATGTAACATGAATATATGTTACAAGTCGGCCTCACTGGGCTGGCTGGGACCCGAAGATCAGTAGTTGCTGCGAAAGCGCCATTTGCTGTAGGAACTGCTGCTGTTGGTGGGGCAGTTGAAAGCTTGGGGCGGTTACTCCCCGCTGGAATACCGCCTGCTGTAGCAGCTGGCGATAGTAGAGACTGAAGCGGACCTGTTGCTCCATTATGGCTGCTTGTTGGGCCCGATATTGTTCGTATTGCTGTGCCATGCGCGCATCCTGCGCCTGCTTGGCCCTCCGGCTCAGAAGACAGGCCAAGGTGTTGCGATCCCGACGACGCTGCTCCTTGGAGCTGCGATGGTGCGGTGTCTGACAGCGACGCACCATGTTGGCGTGATAGGTACTGGCAGTAGTTGGAGCAGCACCAGACATCTTCTGGTTGGAGGCATCGCATGTTTTATTGACGGTGGCTTCGATGTTCTGTTCATTGTCCAGCCAGGGGCGAAAGAAACCCTTCATCTGGCGACGTTTGCAGGGCGGCGTCAAGTCTAGCGTCATATTCTCCTTGTTCTGATCCAGTATCTGGTCCACATCCCGCTTGCGCTTGTTGGCCGCAAACTTCTTATGCACATAGCTGGACGAATTGATGACTCTTTCCATATTTTGTGTGTGCTGCATGTCTTGAGAGTATGTTGTTTATGCTTTGACGTTTTGTGTCTGAATGCTTCTGTTGTCCGCTTGATATCCTGTTTATATGTCCAGGATGGCAGCGCTAATCCAGGCCTCTCGCCCAGGTAGCGAGCCCTTTTTTTTGGGAAACGCGTCGAACACGTAAACAGACGGATTAACGCATCTTTATTACCTAACTAATCGCTGTTTGGCCGGGCATTTTGAATATTTTATGGCCCACGGCGGCTAATTGCCGAACATATTGTTCTGAATACCTGGCAGTACCTGGCCGCGCGCTCTTCAGAAATCAAATGTTGTCGCGGCTACCGGAACTGGAAAATTCTCGCTCGTATATCAGACACATATTTTGCTTTTTTCTATTTTTATTGCCCTACTTGACGCCATACGTTCCGTGTGGTCCTTCACGATCTTCGAGCCACTTTCCAGTTTTTTTTTTTCGCAATTTCTTGGAAATTCATGCAGGTCTGCAGTTTAGACACTTTTAAGGATGACTCGCCAAACAAAAGGATCTCAAAATGGTTTCAGCTGAAAGGTAACGTAGCACGAATAAAAAACAAACGAATTGTTTGTTTATAAATCAAAAAATTCAAAAATTCTATGTTCGTTTTATACCTATAATATTAGTAGTATATGGAAATAAGGTATATAATAGATTCTAATTAATTGTGTTATATAATGCTTTGCTCTAAACTATATTATGAGTCAGCCAGAGGCACGTGTTGTCACATGTGCTAATTGCCGCCTTCTCAAAGCTTTAGCCGGATCTCTATAGTATATTCCATTGCTCCAGTAATAATCAACACCTTTGCCCATCTAGACAGTTTGAAAATTGCTGCTACTTTACATTAAATCATTATATCGTGTTGATCAATGGACTCCATTAAAACGATTGAGTTAAGTGACATTTGATGTATGTATGTACATTTGCATATATAATTAAACAAGCATTTTATCATTAAAACGTGGCTGTTTAATAGTTATTACTGTTATCAGTTCATGCTAATTTTTATAGTTTGATAAATATATGCCTTGCATAACGTCAGTTAATAATAGCAATATTATCGGCATCAACTATATAATTGTTATCTTATTACTACAGCGTTAAAAGCGCTTCAATAAAACTGAAATCTTACTAATAATTATTTACATATTCATACAAAATCATGATTAAAACTTTTATTTCCAATTGCCGTTAAAATATACTATGCTGCCAAAATATTGGAAGTGGGATCATCATTAATCAATATTTAGTATTACAACTTCTTAAATAAGTCGGAAAATAGTTTATATATTTTCACAGATACATTTAAAGTCTTATGAGTTTGAGCGTATCTCTACCTATTGCCTTCGTATATCAAGTTTGATTGATATAACCGAAACAGCTTGCCATGAAAAATCCATATGGAAATCCACTTTCTGTGCATAGCTCTGAGCTTATTGGAGCTACAGATACTTAATTCTCGTAAGAACATATCCTGAATATTTCACATTTTGGATACGTTAATAAAACGAAATTTCTGCAGCTTTAGATGTACGCTTTCGATTTAAAAAACATTTTATGCCCTGAAAATTTAATAAAGATCGGACAATGAACACCTTAACTAATCGCTAGCACAGATATGTAACTCTGAAATGAATTGTCATGGGGATACTTTGAAATGAATGCAAGCCCCAAGCTTCACCCACCAAATCTTTGAAACCCGGGTCTAGCGAGGAGGATGGGTTTTTTGAAAAGGGTCCTTAAAAAATTAAAATAATTAAAATGATGAAAATGGTTTGCATTTTAGCTGCCCAGCTTTTGCTTTAATCAATAATCGGTTAGTGAACCAATCTAACAGACATCTGGCACGAATACTACTACCTAATATTGGCAGCTTTATTATTTGGACTAAAGTGGACACATTAATGTTATTTATTAAAAATCCTGTAGAAAGCCAGGATCCAGTACCAGATCCAGATCGTTTTTTGCAGCAATGCCGTACATCTGTGTCGCACATGTCCATATAAAAGTTTGAATTGACTCGACTTTTTTGTCAGTTATAGCTTGTTTTTAGCAGAGAACAGTCTTTGTAACTTCATAAAATACTGATCGTTGGACCATTGTGACAAGCCTGCCCAATGTAAGTTTTCTATCCTAAATGAACCCGATTAACGTTACACCTGACTGGGACTTTCCCCTACAAGGAAGAGCAATGGTTGAGAACATAAAAGAGAAAACCAAAAGAGATCGCTAAGGTGTCCCGATAGATTGATAATTACCCTCGTTGGCGAAAGTGTCATTTTACATTGTATATACATTTATTTTAGAACATATTAAGATCTAATTATGTGGTCTGTTCGATAATAAATCTTTAGATTCTACCTAATGAAATCGAAGAGCAAGAGCGAGATGAGATGAATAAATTGTAATAGATATAAATGCTTGCTTTAACAATTTGGTTTATTGATGGTCAACAATAATAAATAAATAAGACTTTAAAAGTCATCACAAGGTCAATAAAAAAGTAATCACAATAAATAAAAACTAAAACCGCTATAAACTAGCTCAGATAAGTCTCGATTGAGGGAAGTCTGTACTATATGCAATCCCTAACGCTTCGTGGCAGTTGCCTGTTGGGGCCAGCACTGCGGAGTCTGCGGCAGCTTCTGATGGGTATCGGTCAGTGGAGCTCGGGTGCTGGCCATGGCGTGCTGCAGGAACCGTACGTAGTAGAGGCTCAGTCGTATTTGCTGCTCCAGGTTGGCCTCGTGCTGCACCCGATAGTGCTCGTACTGTTGCTCCATGGCAGCCTGATTGGCCTGCCGGGCGCGGCGACTCAGGAGACAAGCCAAAGTGTTGCGATCGCGACGCTGTTGCGCCTTGGGGCTGCGCAGACGGGGCGCATGGGAGCGCACCATGTTGGCGTGGTAGGTGGTGGTTACTGTCGTGGGCGTTGGTCTCCGCGGCGGCTGTGTCTTGACTATTTGACTATTTGTATCGCCAGCGATTTTCACTGGAAATACCTGTTGAGTGAGCAGAGCAGACCCAGTGCCATACATTCTAATCCTGGCGCTCATATGGCCACGGTGTCTACGGCCGCATTGTTCGGCTTCCTTTGTGTCGCCTGTAAAGTTTTATTGTTACCGCCGATCCGCAAAGCATTTATGACTTCAGCTTGTGAGATCGCCTGGCCAGCTGAAAATATTATTCTTCCCAAGGTACTGGGCATCATTACTGAATCCCAAAATCCGGCACCTACACATATACACGAGAAGACATCGTCCCTTCGGTCGGAGTGCGTGCGATCATAACCATGTCGGATTTTTCATTCAATGCCTCTTTCTTAAAGTCGTGTCCATTGATTTATGTAGTCACTGCCGTTCGACAGCTAAGCGGATTTATTTCAGGTGGGTTTGAGTCCGGCCCTGAACAAACGCTGAGTCAAGCACCAGGACTACAATTGTTGTTGCTGTCTCTAAGTATTGCACTGAAAGATTGCCATATTGTTTGATTACAATGATCAGATCCCATTTTCCGTTGGCCGGAAAGAATTGATAACGTAAATGTAGCATTTTTACGATTATGCAACTGCTCTACTCCGCATATCATGGGACACACTTGTACAAACCTGCCAGGAAACGCTTTCTTTGCTTGACAATTGGAAGCGTCAACTTCTTAGAAAGGATTTCCAGAAGAAAGCGATAGTGGCTGGGATATGTGAATGAATTGCGTTTAATATAATTGATTTACTTGTGACCTTTCTCACATATTGTCTGGCAAGGTCGCGTTGAGAGTTCTTAGTAATTTCATACATAATAAAAATCCCTAAACCTCACGGCCCATTTGAGGAAACCTGCTTAAACATAATCTAATAACTGGCTCCATTTAAACCATGGGAAAAATGAATAAAAATTGAATTTTTTAGAATTAAAATAGATTAAATTTGTTTATACAAAGTTTTAAAGCTAACTTCCCGTCATTTTTGACTGAATATATTTATATGCATAATTTCCATTATTTGTTAAGTTTTTAAAAGCTGAAAGGCTTATCACAGCATAAAGATTTATAAAAGCATCACCGGAAAGCCATGCCCATTTTCAGAGCTAATTTTGTCAGTGACGTTATTAGAGTCATAAATCTAAGAAGAAAGGTGTAAGTCAAGAATAAGTATTTTTAAGATAAAAATTAAAAATATAATATATTAGAAAGAGTGGGAGAATATTAAGTAAATAGGGAAAAAAAATATTGAAGGGTAAATTTTTAACCTGCCCGAAAAGCTTTTCCCATACCCAATGCTGGGCGTGGACATCGTAAAAGCAAAGATTTTATTAGGGTAAAAAAAGTTCAGGGGAGAAATCGTGTTGCGAGCTATTGTAATCTATTTAGATACCGTAAGCTGTCTTACACGTAGGTAGGGATAGTTCCTGATGGGTCTGGAAGGAGCAGAAAATTGAAGATGAGAAAAAAATAATCTATGTCCCTTGTAGGAAGACAACACCGAGGGTTGCTTGTTTATGAACAAAATTATCGTACTTATTTAATTTAATTTACTTGCCTTACTTGATAATGGTCCAGCAATGAGAATACTATACAATATTCTGCTAAAAAAAAAACACCTATCAATCACCATATCAACAAGCCAGGAATCGTCATCAATAAAATGTAATATCTTCGAAATCTAAACATATGTATAATATGCCTGCATAGATAAATAACTAAATATAAACACATGTAGATAATTTTATTGACGTCCTCCACACTTCAAGTTTTGGATGCAATATTTCGGGAAAATCCCAATAAATTTCCATTCAATTGCCCATTGTTAGTAAGCCGTCGAGCTGCTGCACCATGGAATGATGTGCAACATAATGAGCAGATTAGCGGTAAGCGAGATAGGAATCTAAAAGCGCTGAACCGATATTGCCGAAGGCATAGGGATCGGCATAGGCTACCGCATCAAAGAACATTCTGGGACAGGGCGCAGGCGCTGGCTGAATGCTCGCGTTCTGGTGAAATCTTCTCGAGAAATACCGAGAAAATTGAAATGAGCACAGGCAGACAGCAGCAGGAGAATGCACTCGTGTATGTAGGTGCGAGCCGAGCACCGCTGGGCAAATGAAAAATTAATTACAAAAAGGACTTGTCCGAGCAGGTAACAACATACCATACATACATATTGTGGAACAAATCCTTTTCTTTTTATGACAATGCAGACCTTTGTCAACGAAGTTTTCCCATAAACAAGACGCTGCTCACCTTAATGATAATTTCCCGAGCAGGTAGCTAGCGCCTTCTCCTATAAAAGCCACCGTTGCGCAGCAGAAGGAGCACAGTCGTTCGACAAACATCAACATAACAACATCTCAGTATTTTAACACAATCCTCACCTACACGATGGCACCCTCACAAATGGATTATCCGCACCAAGAAAATGAAACGAACGTCGATTATACTCATAAGAAATTCAACACCGGCTGCTACAAGCACAAAAAATTTGGCAAGCGCAACAGCAAAGAAGACACGGTCACGACCACGCCCTTATTTCGTCCATATGCACTGAGCGATAACACGCCACGCAAGCGTCGTCAGGAGTCTGAGCAGCGCCAATATCAACACCAACTACCGCCTACGCCGCCAACAACACCTCCACAGCAGCAGCAGCAACAATATCAACCACAGCAGCGGTGGCAGCCACAAACGCATGCGTTACACACGCCCACAGCCACGCCCACGCCGATCATGAATCATCAGGCGTTCGCCTATGTGCTGCAAAAGCAACGCGCGGTACTCCAAATGCGCCACATGCTCAGCATCAATCCGGATGCCAATACCTGGCCAGCGGAGTTGCGCAATGCGCTCTACTCCATGCTACAGACATGAGTGGATAGATACTTCCTATTAATAGGTGGCATCGGTAGATGCTACCGAGTTGGTGATTTGCCTAGCAACCAGTGATATAGAATTTTAAGTGCCTCAGAAATTGTATAGCGTATGCAAATGTGAATGAATGACATTAATCTAGACTTAAAAATTGTACATAAAAAATATTGAATCAAATATAATATTAAGCGAACTAAATAAAACAATTGGATATACTATATAAAAGTCTTTCTATCAACGCTCTGTATGCAAAAACAAATTTTTAATTTGTATATTATAGAGAATGTAATGCACCGAAGAGGGCATTTCTCGACAATATAAATTACGTATATTTTCGAAAAGAGCTTCCAGCTAAAAAGCTTACAGGATTTTACGCCGCTCAGTAATCTTTGCTTTTAGTTAGAACTTACAGAAGGCAAGAAATAAATTCGTGCTCAATACATCTTTAAACAAAAATTTATATATAAATAAGGATAATAAGATGATGAATTATAGTGTAAGTAAAATAAAAGCTATAACTCCGTTAAAAAAATAGGCTGTTTCTTTTTTAAAAACTCAAAGACTGATGGACAAATTGGCAAGAAAAGGGACAAAGGGACTTCTGTATAGTATAGTTAAGCATTTCATATAGTTGGAGGCGACCAATGAAGTATTTAAGTAACTATCATATTGTTGATTATCATTTTAAGATGACTACGTTTTTACTTGGTGCTGAGTAGAGACCTTCACAGATCATAATTGACCTATCAGTCCATAGACTTGTTAGTACGGGTGATTGCAAACATTTACTTTTAAACTGAATTAAATAGAACTCTTAAACAAATACTATGGTTGTCTTAAAATCTACAGAGAATTGTTAAATCCCAGGCGATCGAAAACGGAGTTCGGTTGAACCCTTGGCCGGTGCCCAGCATTAACGCTAGAGTTTCGACGCGGAGCAAACGAATTCAGCTTATGATCGCGCTGCTGGGTGCGTGGAGGTGGCGGCTGTGCTGGCGCAGTTGTGCCCAGACGCTTGTGCACAGGTAGCGTATCCTGTCGTGTAAGCAGCTCATCGCTGCGCATACGTATTGCTTTTCCCTTGACGGGGCTGAGGCGGGCTCCGGGTTTCTGTGGCGGAGACGCTTTGAGATTATACGTTTTACGCGTGGCGTGTAATTTGGAAACTGTTGATTGAAATTGTTAATTTTGTAAGCTTTGACGTGCTAATAGAAGTCAAACTTACCCAGGCCCAAACGAGACTTTATGTTACGTGCAAAGTTGCTATTTCCACGCGCTTTGTAGGGCGTGTGTGGAGCGATTTCTCGCACCTCAGCAGTAGAGGCGAACTTAACAATTTTCTCAGCGGGTGCTGCCATATCCACATCCTGTTGTTCACAATATTCAGCTTCGCTGTCAAAATCACTGTCAGCCTCTATTAAGTCTTCGTCATCCATGCTTTCATCTTCGCTATCATCGCCACGTTTTAATGGCACCTTATGGACAAGCATTACCTTCTGCTGCGAACGCACCACGGAAGTTGCTGTGTTTTTAGCCTTGACTATGGGCGTGTTACGTCTGGCGCCGCTGCCGCTGTTGGTGCTTTGAGTGTTCTTTAAAATTGATTTTATTTCCTTAGCAAGACCCGTATTGTGCTGCACTGAATCCAAGGATTGCTTGCCGCCAAGGCGTGCAAAAACCGAGTTATTACTAGAGGTGGCCGCCACTTGTACGCTGGATCCCTTATGAACGCCAGTAATGTGCACACGCACGTTGCTCTCCCCGCTGCTAGAGACAATGCCCTCCTGGGCATCGTCGTCGCACTTGCTATTGTGCAAACGTGCAAAGACGTCCGTTTTCTTAGTGCTGCTTACACGATCCGAGTATACTGCAAAAGAGGCAACCAAATTACTATAGTGATTGATTACAATAAGATGCATATAAAGTTGTGAAAATTAAGATTTTGGCTATTAGCTCTACCAGTTAAAATTAAATTTGGATAGATATTAATGGTAAAATGTTATCATACACTGCTCCCGCTTTGCTAGGATTTGCTTGCTTCTTTCTGTCGTGCCTGACGGCAAAGTAACTTTATATTTTCCTTCATGTTCAGGCAGCACACGACGCGCTGGTTTTGTGGGTGGCGATGCTTTGTTGGTGCTGCCGGCTGCAACTGGAGATGATGACACATGCTTGCTGCTGGGCGGCACATGCTTGTTGCTGGGCGGCACAGGAGCTGTTCCAACGACGATCTTTGACATGGTTTTGGGCAAGGGCGCCTCCGATATTAGTACCTTGTCGAGCACATTTTGGTCGCTCACTTGTTTCGCATGGCGCAGTATGGCTATAATATCACCCATGGGTGTGATGCCCATCTCACGTAGATACTCCTTATTCAGATCGAGTAGCATGTCCTCCTGTATACGATTCTCCACAAATATATGAGCATAGCTGGCCGCAGCTGGGGATGGAATTCCCCCGGCGTTGAAAAACTTCACCCATCGTGCTGTAATATTTGTACATCAGTTATTCATATACATGTGATAGTGTTATACACACCTGCACTTGACTTTGACATGGCTTTTGAAGAATAACGCACTTTTTAACTATATTTTTAATTTTCACATTTATACAGTGCGATAGAGTTGTACAGAATCGTTTGGAATCAGTTCAATCGAACAACTCTGTAAGCTAAACGAATGAACTAAGTTCCTCAATGTTGTTTATTGTGTTCATCTCGGAATAGCCATATATTTGGTGTTAAACTGTATTTCGTTGATGCAGTTTATGTTTTTAATAGCGTTAATAATATTTAATACCAAACGGTTCTTAGCTTCTATAGAACCTAGTTTAGAAGTGAATTTCGCTCAAATGTGAGTATAACATCGCTAATAACAGAGTGAAAGCAGAACACAGAAAACATCGTAGTGGCCTATCGATATATAGTTGTATCAAAATGGCAACCCTGACACGACAACTCTATCAAACAGCTGACATAAAGGGAACGACGGAAATCTGTAGAAACAGCGTAAACAACGCCGCCGCACGTGCCGCATATTATTGATATTCATTTAAATTTGTTTGTGTCGCAAAATGGCTAGTCGAATTGAGCTGCTTAGTGAACAGGGATTGCGCCTGGATGGCCGCCGGCCGCACGAACTTCGCCACATTCAGTGCAAATTGGGTGTCTTCGAACAACCCGATGGCAGCGCTTACATGGAACAGGGCAATACAAAAGTGCTGGCTGCCGTGTACGGACCACATCAAGCGAAAGGAAAAAAGACAGAGGGCAACGATCTGATCATCAACTGTCAATACAGTCAGGCCACGTTCTCGACATCAGAGCGCAAAAATCGACCACGAGGCGATCGCAAATCGCAGGAGTTCAAAATGTACCTGCAACAGGCGTTAAGTGCAGCCATTAAATCCGAGCTGTATCCACGCTCCCAGATCGACATCTATGTGGAGGTGCTGCAGGCGGATGGCGCCAACTATGCTGTATCCCTAAATGCTGCTACCCTGGCGCTCATTGATGCGGGCATATGCCTAAACGAGTTTGTTGTAGCATGCACCGCATCTTTGAGTAAATCCAACATTCCGCTAACGGATATATCACACATAGAGGAGGTTTCCGGGGGTCCAAAACTAACCATTGCGGCACTGCCCACCGCCGAAAAGATTGCATTTATGGAGATGAGCGAACGCTTTCACATCGATCAACTAGAGACGGTCATAGAGACCGCAATGGCCGGATGTCGAGAGATTCGCGATATACTGGAGTCGGCGGTCAAAGAGCACCTCATACACATTGGCAGCGCAGCAGACTGGGCACGTGTTTGTTAAAATAAAGCATTTTTATTAACTTTACTTATTATTAAACTAAAAGGCAGGGGGAATATGCAATTAGCTTTGATCTGACGCCTTTTGTGGCGGCTGCCACACTTCGAGCAACTCCACTAGCTTCAGTTTGCGCTGTTCCAAGTGCAGCCGCTCAATTAGATCGCTTAGTTGCTGGCCACCCTCGAGAAACCCGCTCAGATTGTGCAGCGTACCTCCCTGCTGCACGCGGTGATCCGTTACACGATCCTGCACAAAGTGATACGTGCGAATCTTTTCGTTGCGATTTAGATTACCCTGTTGTGCCTTTCGCGTCGCCTGTTTGGTCGCCTCGGAGCTCTCCAACAGCTGCTGAACAAGCTTGGCCTGTAGACGCTTAAGCGCCAGCTCCCGATTCTTTAGCTGTGAACGCTCGGACTGCGATTCTACAGCCAGGCCCGTAGGCAAATGCACAATGCGCACGGCGGAATCTGTGGTATTTACATGTTGGCCACCAGCGCCGCTAGCACGTTTCGTCTCAATTTTGAGGTCTCGCTCGGCAATATGCACCTGAACATCAGCCGGCCGTGGTATTACTGTTATTGAGGCGGTGCTGGTATGCATGCGTCCAGACTTCTCGGTGGCCGGCACACGTTGCACTCGGTGCACACCCGCCTCGTAGCGCAGCCAGTTGTATGCCTCGGGATCGTTGACTAGCAGATTGGCATATCGCAGTCCACCAATGTCGGTGGTCTCATGGGCAAACTGTTCATACTCCCAGCCCATGTGCTCGAAGTAGCTGGTGTACATGTCGTAGAGCTCCTGAGCAAACAGCATGGCCTCCTGTCCGCCGGCTCCAGCGTTCACCTCAAATATCAGCGACGGGTAGTCCTCATGGTCAGAAAGAGCGAGGAGCTCCTGCAGCATTGCGTCCTCTTGTTTACGCAACAGCTCAGCATAAACTTTATTTTCCTCTAGCATCAGCGCACGCATATCCTCGTCCTTTTCAGCGGCCAAATCCTGCTCAGGTGTTATATTGCGCTGCAGGGCTCTGTGCTTTTCAAGGGAGTTAACGACTGGATCCAGACGCGTCAGTCGTGCATAAAGGCTGCTGTTACCGGCTGCGTTGACGCGCAGCGCATAATATTCCTGGCGCAGTGATTCCAGGTATGCCTGCAGCTTCTCGTTCTGAAAACATAGCGGATCTGTGCTGGCCCATCGTCGCAGTAAATAGTGACAACGATCTGTCAACAATTTCCGCAGCAACATTATTTCACAACAAATAAATAATAAGAAATCGAATCTTGGTTAAATAACTGCCCTTCCGAACAGCCGATCGCTGAGGAATTAACATAACAGAGAGATGAACTAAAACGAAATAATCGATAGTATTTTAAGCAACAGCTGTTCTGCTATGACACTTGTGACTATGATACCGTTTTTTCTTTGGCAACTGGTATATGTACAATTTATCAATTAACGTTGTTTTCGTTTTTTTCTTACTTTATTTTTTTAAGCCATTGGTTAGATAATTTGCATAAAACTGCATTACCAAATTTCAGTAGTCTTCTAGCAACATATAACCGCGCGCTGTTAACTTTTCAGCAAATGTAATCGTTTTTGGGTGCCCACAGATGTATGTGTAGCTGTTTAGTGTTGAGTAAAACATTATTTATTGCTCACTCTGATGGGCTTGTTCACTCGAGAAACAGTTATTTTGTTAATTTGTTATATTTAGCCATATCAGTGCAATAAACAGTACTAACAAAGTACATTGAAGTAGCCACAGCATTAGCAGCAACAACAATAACAACCTGTGTAACAAATATGTACAAGCTGCAAGCCTGGCAATTTTCAGCCTAACATTTATATATCTGTGGGTGTGCGTGTGATGTGTGCCTGTGTGTTGTGCTTGATTAATGAAAACAGTTGTGTTCGTAGTGGTGTAAACTGCAGCAATAGCAATTAAGTTTAATTAAATCATAAATTGGATGTGAAAAGGCTGCCAGAGTGCATTTAAATAAAACCAGCAGAAGTCGTAGCAAAAGTATTACGAGATGCCACCGCTTAAGAGCTATTCCATGCACCACGAATTCAATACAAATGCAAATTGTAACAACGGCAATGAGAACACCACCGATAACGATAACGATTACTTCAGTCAGCCTGCCGCATCTGCAGCTGCTGCCAGCACACAACGCACAAATCTGCCCTCTTACTGCAATGCCCAGTACCCGTTTAAGGTGCTAGCCAATCTGAATCAGTTGCGGGAGCAATCGCGCTTTTGCGATGTCGAAATCGTAGCGGGCGAGTCCACCTTTAATGCACATCGCGCAGTTTTAAGCGCTTCCAGTGCCTACTTCGAGGCCATGTTCAGGCCCGAACTGGGGCTCAATGAAGTTAAACAGAAATCTGTGGTTTTGCATACAATTGATGGCGATGTATTACACATACTCCTGGACTTTATATACACAGGACGTTGCGAGATTACGCAGGTAAGCAGTTGAAGTCTCTATTGTCTCTTAAATAATACCACTATGTATTTCCCTTTTCAGTCTAATGTGCAGGAACTGCTTGCTGCCGCGGATATGTTGCAGTTGAACGAAGTGGTCGATGGTTGCTGTGAATTTCTGTGTCGAGAGTTGCATGCCACGAATGCATTGGGTATTTTGCGGTTCGCGGAAGCGCACAATTGTGAATCACTGGCAAAAAGTGCGATGAACTTCGTGCAGGCAAACTTCCCAGCGGTAAATAGCACCTTTTCTAGTCGTACTAAAAAAATGAAAAAAAATAAAATGTTTCCGCCCGGGTTCGAACCGGGGACCTTGTGCGTGTGAAGCACACGTGATAACCGCTACACTACCGAAACGATTTAATCGCAGTTGCGACGCGCAACTTCCTAGCCACGTTCAGCGACTTTATTGTGCTCGACACCAATTTATAAAATATAAATTAAGGAATATGTTCAAATTACCAAAACATTCTCCCGTCGTCTCGGAATAGTTGATCTCCAAAAGAATCAAATACTCAACTGAAAGGATACTTCTCAACTATCCCTCTTACAAAAACTTCAACTTTTATATATTTATTATGACCCGGCAGAAAACTGCCAGGCACAACTAAAAATTCAATTTAGACTCATTAGAGTGCTCCTCTCCACGGAAATCTTTAGTAAAAGGCGAAAGATTTATTCGACAACTGAAGAGAAGCCAGAGTGACTTTCAACCATAACTACCCTGCCACTAGTTTCAATGTATGCTTAGACTGTTTGAGAATTATATGAGACGTTGCTTACAAATACTCCTGAGGGTAGGCAACATATTAACTTAATCGTCATAACCAGGATAATATAATTCTCAAAAGGTTTTACCCATGCGCTGGTGTAGTATCACGAGCTTAGCATTTTAAAGTTATCGCTTCTCGGCCTTATGGCTAAGATCAAAGTGTAGTATCTGTTCTTATCAGCTTAACATCTGATAGTTTCTCCATTGGAGAACAACAAATGTTAAACTGATTTTTGGAAATTGACGGAGTGCTAGGGGCTTGCTCCACCTCTGTCGCGGGTTGGCCCGGTATTGCAGTACCGCCGGGATTTCGGCCCATTTTGTTAATAAATGTCAGATGTAGTGATAACTTCATGTATTGTTATTATATCGCCCGAAGATAACTCTTGAAGATGAGTTTCTGGAAACACCACAGACTCTATTATCGCAACTGCTTAACTCGGAGTTGTTGCGCGTTGACTCCGAATCACAGGTGTTCCAAGCGGCGCTTCGCTGGATAAAGCATGATGTTACGCAACGTCGGTGCTATGTCTTCGATATACTGTCGCATGTCCGTATGGCCTTGGTGCCGGTGAAGGTCATCGATAAAGCTTTAAAGGACGATTGTCGCGATATGTCTGTAAAAATCGCGTTGCGATCTATTTGCCGAGATATTGCTTCAAAACGCGGCCAACTGGTGCCGCTGCGCGTCTGTCCACGTCAGCTGGCCAAGAAGAATATATATATTATTGGAGGATCACATCGCGATACGCCGCGCACTTGGAACTCTGCGGACTGCACCTTCGAAACAGTGGCCAAGTTCGATATATTCCGACGTGAATGGACTGAGACGGCACCCATGGAGGTGGGCCGCATTCTGCCGGGCGTGTCGGCATTAAATGGCAAGATCTATGTAGTAGGTGGCGAACGGGGTTCACAAATTCTGGCCAACGGCGAGGTATACGATCCTCAAAACGATATTTGGCAGCCTATAGCACCGATGATTGTGCCCCGTTGCGAGTTCGGACTGTGCACCATGGGGGGCAATCTGTTTGCAGTGGGCGGCTGGATAGGCGACGACATTGGCGGCACCATGGAGTGCTATGATCCAGAGAAGGATCTATGGAAACTGATTGGCAGCATGCCTCAGCCGCGCTTCAGCATGGGCGTCGTCAGTTTTGAAGGACTGATCTACATAGTGGGCGGTTGCACTACGACCACAAGACATTTACCGGACTTAATAAGGTAATGCATTTTCACACCGGTTCCCAATTTATCTCATGGTAATGTTTTCTTTCTCATATCAGCTACAATCCCGTGACCAAGGAATGGACGCAATTGGCACGCATGCAAACAGCACGTTGCCAAATGGGCGTCGCTGTGCTCGATCGCTATTTGTATGTGGTCGGCGGCAGCAGTATTAGTCAGGATATACTTAGCTCAGTGGAGCGCTATAACTTTGACGACGACAAATGGTCGACGGTCTGCGCACTGAACGTTCCACGCGCCATACCCGCTGTGGCCGCCGCCGATGGCCTGCTCTATGTGGCTGGTGGTGATCAGGTTAGTCGGATTGTAACATTGAAGAATATCTGAAGGTATCTAAATTATATATATCTTTCTGTTGACAGCCCTGCGAGGTGAACTTCTATCGCGCCCAAGTAACCATAAGCGCCGTCGAATGTTACGATCCACTCTCAGACACTTGGAAGAATTGTCCTGACTTGCCGGTTAGCCGTTCCGAGGCAGGCGCTGTGGTTGTGTAAAAAAGAAGCCAAAAGTCCAACAACACTCTCACATCTTACGATCTTGTTTTAAGCACATCTTATATGCCCGACATTAACTCTCACAGACATTTGCTTATGTGGTATACGCTAGTAGATACCATTACCAAATCTATTTTCTCTTTGAAAGTTGAACGTAGCGCTATCTAACCAAGGCCAGACGCTCTGTGCGATTCATGTTTCCGAAACGTAGCTCAGCTATTTATACCCAGTTTAGTATTATCTAGAAGTTAGTCTGAAAAGTAACAGTAACAATAGCCAGCATCTGATTGCTCCGTAGTAAAAGTTGTCCTTTATAAAAGCGAAAACCAAAATTGACATGGAAAAAAGTATATCGATGTATCGTAATTGCTGAAAATTGTTCATCTTAAGCCTATTGATGTTTATGTTAATCGATTAATCATCCAAATATGTCAAGTCAAAGATCGCCAGCATTGTTGGTGCGTTCTTAAAAAGCGCGTGCCCGAAGAAATTCGTAACTTTATGATTAAAATGTACCAAAAACGAAAAGCAAACATTCAAAAAGAAACAAACTGTATTAATAATAGGTGTATTTACGAATAATAAACGTACGACTAAATCAAATCATAGCCTTTATTTCATTTAAAAATAATTGATTTTCAGAATATTTCAGAATTTTCACGTAAAGATTACAATATGAAATTTTTACATTCGTAACGATTAACTAAAGATCGAAAATGCAGTTTAATGAAAACATCTTGGAAAACATTTTGGACTACCGATTCATCCAATAATATCAGTATAATATAGTATTGCGATCTTGATAAGACTTTGCACATATGTATATAGGAAGCATAGTTTAATGCCAGAATCTGTTTTTCCGACCGATCATTCCGATCCGGCTCCGACATATTGTCCTGCATGCGACAGAAAGAGCGAAGTTTTCAAAGTTACATGGAGAGACATGGCTACATCGGACAGGGCTGTTGATACTGATCAAGAATATATATATACTGTACGGGCCGGCAATGTCAAAATTATAATATCCTCTGCAAGGTTATAAATAATGGGGGACCAAGCCGGATCAACCCACATTTCTAACCACCAGCATTCGTAACAAAAGATTTCGAAACGCCATACTGACACTGTTTAATTTATTAATTAAGTGGGCCGAAATCCCGGCGGTACTGCAATACCGGGCCAACCCGCGACAGAGGTGGAGCAAGCCCCTAGCACTCCGTCAATTTCCAAAAATCAGTTTAACATTTGTTGTTCTCCAATGGAGAAACTATCAGATGTTAAGCTGATAAGAACAGATACTACACTTTGATCTTAGCCATAAGGCCGAGAAGCGATAACTATTCAACGCAAAACTCGTAATAGTACACCACCGCCGGGATAGAACCGCTTGAGAATTATAAGAATTACAAATGAAAAATAGGTCCAGTGTTGTAAAAGGCACTTGACGAAGACTGCGAGATACAGCTGTGTAGGCATAGTGCTGAAAAACAACACGAACAGTGCTCTAATTCGGATGATAGAGTTTGACCGCGCACACATTAATTTGAAATTTAAAATTTGACATCCAAAAGATGTTTAGTTATGTGAAATGCATGACATAAAATATTTCATATTATTATTTTTATCAAAAACTAGAATGTGAATGTTACAAAATTTTGTTTCGTACCAAGATTATGTTACCTAATTAACAGCATACAATGCAACCTAACAGCTCGTCCAATGAAATGACCGATGGCTTGGGCACCGAATCCTTGCCAGGGACCAGCGCCAACCAGAGTCGCCAACGTCGTCGGCAAGAGAAACGCCTAAGACGCTTGGAGGACAAAAGGCATTTGCTGTACACCAAGCATTTTTCGAATTATCGCCTGCCGGTGTCTGTGCCCTCAACAGATCTGAAGATGGTGCAGCTAAGTCGCTATGAATCCATTGTTGATCGCGAACGGCATCCTCCACTCTTTGTGGTACCTGACCAGAAATCTCAATGGGCGCGTCTGAGAATGATTTCATGTCCATGTCACGGCTGCTCCTATACCTTAGATCCAAATGGCTGGTTGTCTCACTATCTAAATGTCCATATGCCTAGATTGGGCGTCTCATTTGTGGATGTGCCATTTCCTATTGAAAAGCAAACACTCCATGCCACCTGCTCTGTGGGTAGTCTTGATTATGACGTCAATACTTTGTTGGGTGTGTTTGGCTATCAGCGGTTTGGACTCAATCCGCTTAATTGTCCACGCAATACTCTGCTGCCAAAGGACTACCGCAAGTATTCCCAGCATGGCGTTTTATTGGTTTTTGCCTGCCGTACGCGGCATGGATTGCTTTGGCAACGCAAGCAAATCGATGATGTTGTTGCCATTTGGGTCTCGACGCCGCTGCAGGGTGTATCCATATCGCTGCGCTGCGTAGTACATCCCGCCCAATCAACACGTTACTATGCCAAGCGTTTGCAAGCGCGCCCGCTGCCGACTTCAGCAGTGAAAGCTCCGCCCTGCCGTGAGTTCATCAAGACGGACAGCAACGTCATTGTAATCAGCTATCAAGATATATGGCAGCTATTGTCACTAAATGTGGGACAGCAGCTACTCAATGTGGAACTGCACCTAATGGAAGAGCGAAAAATCTGATATCGGTTGTTAAAGCTTGGCCAAATATACGAAAGTCGCATCTAGGCTATAAATAATTTTTATTGTTTTTTTGGCAATAGTATTAATTATATTTTCTTTAACAAACTAAATATGAAAATAATGATACACATACATAGATTTGAACTAAGAAATTTACACTTAACAGCAAACACAATGCTGGAGATTACGCTCGATTACGCTGCAGTACTAGTTTAAAAATGAATAGGCGATCATCCACACATATATTTTCACAATTCTAACTTAATATATTTCGTACAATTTTGTGGAGTTCGCACTCGTTACGCTTAGAAAATATAAAAGGAATTTACAAATTTTGAGCCTACATATAATTTAGATTTGATAAGCTATATATATATATATATAAGTTTGTATACAACTGTGTGTGTGTGAGTGAGTGTGTGTGTGTGTGTGTGTATGGAGGGGCATGCAATATTCGGCCCGCAGCAATTTCAATTGCTTAACACAACACAAAACATAACGATATTCAAAAGAATCCACAACGATAAAACGAAACATTCTAAACAAAAAGTTGCAACTAAAAACATTGTCTATTGATTAAAAAACGGAAACTAGCCCGCCTTTTGCGTTTGCTTTTGTCGCTGGAGTGCCTCGAACGCTTCAATTTCCTTCTTTTCTTTGGCTTGATTTCGACGCTCGTATTCCAGTCGATGCGATATGATGCGCTCAACAATGCGCTCTGTGGTCATGTCGTTACCAGAGTCGAGTAGCTCAAATATGGCTCGCGTCTTGGGCACAGCATACGGATCAATTTTGCCATCCTCCAGTGAGATTGGCGTGCGTCCGTGGCAGACAACATCAATCTTGAAATGATCCAGCAGCTCTTCTGTGACACAGTAGGGTGCTCCAATGACTACCTCGTTGACAAACTGCAGAGTGTAAGAGGTTGTTAGTAGTTTATTTAAGGGCCTGCGATGAGGATGTTAGGGATTTACCTTGCAGGCCAATACGCTAAGCACACGCTCGTGCAGATTCATAATGGGATAGTTGCTACCCTTATAGGAGTTAACAACGGGATCTGTGTGCAGGCCCACAATCAAATAGTCGCCCAATTTGCTAGCCTTTTCCAGGAAATCCAAATGACCCACGTGGAAGAGATCAAAAGCACCGGCCACATACACCTGTAACAAAAATTGTTCTTAAAATTCATGTTTCAATTGATATTTGTATTATATTTACAATCTTATCGCCTGGATTTGGCGATTTGCCATCGCTGAACTGTATTATTTTCTGGGTTGTGGGCAAAAACTGGCTGCAACCGGTCCAGGGGCTCTTCGCTGTAGAATCCTGACCCATATTCGATGAACCTAAACGGGATTGCAGTTGTTGAATTTTTAAAAGTTTTTCTGTATCAATTTTTTAAAATTATCAAATTTGTTGTTTTTTTTTTTGTTTTTTTTTTTTAACAACGGATACATAAGAACATTACATTACAATTTACAATTAGGTTTTGATTTGATATTTCGTTTTGATGTCGGTTGATTGGTGGTTTATTTTATTTAATATTTTTTTGGGTATTCATTTTAGTTTGAACGCGGGGCGGCAACACGCACGGGATTTTGAGATTTTAGTTCATAGGTTTTGATTTTGATTTGAGTTTGGTTAGTGGTAAACAGTGCGCACATAGAAATAAAAAAGAAGAGAAATAGTAAAGATGTAGAGAGCAAAATAAAGCAAATGTTTTGTTACGTTCAAAGAATGCTACGGACACTATTCACCAGATTCTAATAGGAAATTAATCAACCAACTAAAAGCAAAACGTGCGTGTCCCAGACTCGTATTATGTATAAATATATCGGAAATATTAAGAAGTTAAACTTTGATTCTCTCCTCATACTTGGAACTGTTTTCGAGTTTTGATGTGGTGTGCGGTGTTAGATCAGCATGCAGAAGAGATATTAAGAAACGAGTTTTAAAAGCAAAGCAAATAATTAATTCAGGTTAGTTAAAGTAAATATATAAAAAATGAGTAATCACTGGCAGATGAGGTGGACGCACTTAAAATAAAGCAACGTTAAATATAAAGAGTACGTAAGAAACGGACGCTACCTTCTTTCTCAATGTCATATTCGGCGGAGCCCTGACGGAAGTGGTTGCGCGTAAGCAGCAACATGCGTCCCACGAGATCTGTGGTTGAAACTCCGGCGGTGCGCTTGACTTCCCTGTGGGGAGACGGAAGTGTTTTAGGATAAGTTTTATAAAAAGACAGAAGGTCACTTACTTGTAACGGTTAGCCGACTTCACCAGATGATAGGTATCCACACCCTCAGCGGTCATTGTTATGTCATCTGTAAGCAAAGAAGGGGCAGTTAATTGATGATCAAATCTCGCGTAAGTCGAATGGCAAACTTACCGCCATGCACGCAAAAATCACAATTATTTTGATCGAGAACTTCTAGGGTGGTCACGTAGGGCGCACCAAGAACCACCTCGTCCACCCATTTAATGCCTTTGACCATCTTGACGCGCTCCTCCTCGGTAAAGACGGGTGGTCCCTTATGTTTGGTGATCTCCTCATCGGTATGTATGCCCACAATTACTTTATCGCCAAGTGCTTTGGCTTGTCGCAGTGAATTGGCATGCCCAAAGTGCACCATGTCGTAGCTGTTCAAACAAAGACCAAAGATTTATTTAATGTATATTCAAAGAATTGCGCAAGTGCCATATGTACAAGTTGTATCTTGCTTCCGCCTCGAATAAACAAATCTTCCGATTGCATTTTCTAATCAAACAGAACGGAAAAGAGATAGCGGGAAACACAACATACAGGAAACAAACAAAGAATTGTTAGACCTTATCGGGAATATCCAATTAGCAAAACGTGTGTCAGTTTAGAAAAGTCCTAAAGAAGGGTGAACATTTAAAGGAAGTCTATAGATTCATTTTTTACAGACAATGTTGTTTAGGCTGAAGTGTCCAATGAACTGAAATGACCTTGCTATATATAAAACATGGCGCTGATTCATGAGGAATATTAGTGAAACGTCCCAGATAGCCATGACGATTATAGCAGCTGAATTATCGCTTGGCTCGCAAAGTTTCCATTCACAGAGAGCCCCAGCGTAGCCGGGTTCAAATAACTCACGACAATATAGCAATTGATGAAAACTTGTTGACAAACGGAAATTCAATCAGGGCGCGTGTGACTTTTGACATATACATATGGCTGTAGACAGGCTACCACCAGACGAAGTGCCACATCAATTAGAAATTTTGCGTATTTTGAGCAAATATAGAAACGTTTTTCAATTAACTTTTGGGAGGTTGGGAAAAATATTTTGATATGTTCTTAGCAGGCAATACACACAGTACATTCTCAATTGCCAAGGGGGCATTTAAATCAAGCAAATAAACCAACTCGCATACACTTGACATAACTTGCTCAAAGTTCGGACAAGTCAACGTCTGGCCAAGCACAGAGCCCCTCAAGACGGACGCCGCTTGCTCTACTTTTTCTTTCTTTGTAGAGCCGTCGCACTTTGGACGCGATCATCAGTTGCGAATTGCCACACAGACACAAATCCGAATGCGAGAGAAACACTTATGTATGGGGCATTTTTCATTTCATTGATTTATATTGTGCGCCTTTATATGTAATATTTTTATGTCTATGGAATGCAAGCTCAATTCTAATCAACACGCGACACGCTTTAGCCAAATGCTTTGGACGTGCTGAGCCAAGCAAATTGCATTTTATGCCATTTTTGTTAAACTGACAAAAACTTACGAAATATATTTGTGCAATTATTGGTGGTTTTTTTTTGACATTAATTAAATATAATTTAAATGCCAAGCCGAGAAGAGAATTTTAAATAGCTTCCAACTGTTCAGTGAAAGCTCTAATAACCACTCCCCGCTTTGGCCAACAAACTTTATGGACATCATCACAAGGCGTCTTGACTGCATTGTTTATCATTACCTTAACAATTCCCAAGAATTGTTGTAGATAACATGTTATAAGATATCAATAGAACGAGGCCACCAGTTGTCGAACAGTTAATTAATGTTGATACAAGAAAATCAGACCGAGCATTTAAACCTACTAAGCCAAAAAGAATGAAACCATATTCATATCACCCACAATCGAATTCCAGGCAATTGCCATTAAAGTATTCATGATAACAGCCCAAAACGTCATCCTTATCGAATCGGCAGACTGACTACGAACGATTGGGCCACGACAATTAGTAATACACACGTAATAACATTTAATACGAAGGCCTAAGACATGACTACGTTGTGTATATATATATATATATTATATAATATAATATAGACCAAGGCAAAACCCAAAATAAAGCTTGCCAATTGACCAGTCTGGGTAATCAACGTGACGTCATTCAATTGGCATCACAAGAGTCAAAGAAATCCAATCCAAAATATTTATAAAATTCTATTGAAGACGGGTCCATCAACTATCTGTATCTGGGTGGCCAGCAGAAGGTGGGCCATTCATTAAGACGACAATGAAAACCAACCCGGGAACCTTTGATCCCGGAGATTTTGCGACAGCCAAGAAATCTGTGTCGAATATATATATGTATATATATATTTCTATATATGTATACGCATGTGTAGGATCAAGTACATCACAGAACGTACTGGGGCCTTAATCAATTGAGTTACGCCGACTTTTGTTGATTAAGAAAATATCACGCGATTCAGAGTAGAATTTGCGCTCTCGCGATAACTGAAGCCCAGCGATAGCAACAAAGCTTTAATACTTATATATGTATATATATTTATAAATATAGTACATTCAGGGAGGCGTTAGCTGTCCCAAGGGGTTTACATTTGTTTTGAAAATGAGATTTTGGCCCAAGTTCATTGACACGACAACAACAACTTTGAAGCCAGCCACAATGTTGCCCCTGCACAACGCTTACGTCAATGATCTTTGCTATCGATGAGCAACAGACTTAATTTCCAGAGGCTAAAGGGCCAAGCCTACATATTCATATGTATTGCTAGCATACGAGTACATTTGTGCATGGGATGGATGCCACAGCTGGTGCCGACGAAAAATACTGAATGGATTTTGCGTGATTCTGTGATTGTAGAACGGCATCTACTCTTATCAGCGCGTAGCTATCCCCACGGGTACTGCCCATTGACCCTACCTCTGCACGGGGCTTCTATTCTCGTACTAATCGCTAAATTTACCCGGAAATTAGTATATTCTTTAATAAGTACCATTTAATTTTCTATGCTTTTAAGAAAGTATTTAACATTTAACGGTTCGGAATAACAACTTCTATATCATTACTAGCATTCGGATTTTGTGTACTATATATATTTTTCTTTTATGTGCAGAAATTTAATTTTAGTTCTTTATCAGTCTAAATGTACGCATTACAATTATAACAAATACCTTCGAAGCAAACATTTCCTTTCATAACTACATTCTACCCTACTTTTAATTCTCGTGAACGTGTAGTATGTACATATACGATTTTTAAAGATCTATTCCTCTATTTCATATATTTCCTCGTAAGCTTTTCCAAATTCATATTTTAATATTGTGCAAAGTTTACCAATTTTGTAAGGTTTCTATTTCTCACAAATGTTGCTTGTTTAAAAAATTATATTTACTTATTTATATTTTTACTCTCCCTTTCCTTTTATACTTATGACTGTATAACTGGCTGACTCGCCTATATAAAATTGCGCCAGTCATTTGCAATGCTTCGCTTCGGTTTCTGACCTTCAGTACAAAGCTAAATGTCAATTTAATTATGCAAATGCACACGAAAAAGGAAGAAGAAGAAAACTATATCAAGTTCAGAATGCTAGACTAGGATATATCCTGTAGCTGGTTCGAAACGACATTATATAGATTTATTCTTGCAGTTGATTTCGAATCATTTATGTTTCTATGTTTACCTAAAATACATGTATGTATGTTGTTGTTGCCTATTTGTTTATTTCTTTGCTTCTGTTTTTTACACGTTTCACGCTGTTCAAAACAATATTCAACCTTTTCTCTTTTGTAGAGGTACAGGTACACCGACAATGACGTCGTCAGTTTACACGCTGGGTCATTGGCGCGTCCGGTAAAACAAAACTAGGCCGCCTCCCTGCTGGGGAGCATGCGCGTCAATAAATCACGTGATGTTTGGGCAGACACCGACCGGCCCACAGTCAACAAGGGCCACGTAAACCATGCCCCGGGCCAAAACGTGCAAGAAGTAAGCATAGAAAGCAGGCGAGGGCGGTGGGGTATGTCGCTATGCTGCTGCCACAGCTGTACAGAGAATTGTGTACATACAGAGAATCACGCGATGCTGTACGCTTGGGCGTGTACATCTCTTTTAAATACGCGTCGAGAGGTAGAGAGAGAAAGATAGAAGCAACAAACATGAAAGAGCAATTGCGGAAGTCTTTTGAGATTGACATTTGTGTACATAAGCATACATAGATTACATAAAGTCATTTGTACGGCTGAACGTGTGTCCGTATGTATCTCCTCATATGTTGCATATCGAAGTGAATCAATATTGTCTAGCCTGATCTGCTACTTAACCGGTCAAACAGGCTGCGTAGAGAATCTAATTATGGTAATCAAGCTTATAGTGCTGTATAATTAGATAAATTATTGTCTGTCGGATCGATCATTTGCAACACTGCGTTGCGATTGTATTCATACTAACAAACGTAATGGGCAAATCAGATTTCGCTTTTAGCTATGACCTTGAACCTGAACAAATATAAATGACTAGCTAAGCTATCTTTGGACGAACTATGTATATATATGTACATACAATACATATACGATGTCTGTAAAAGTCGTACGAAATGCCAACTGTCACTGGCAAGAATGATAAAATAAAAATGCTATTAGATTAGAAAATGAATAGAACCTATCTGGCCAAATTCAATGTCAATAGATATTATAAATGTATGCATGCACATACACATTTATGAGCATACATACATACATTTAAACTTCAACAAACTGACTCACCAGCCATCGCACCATACGCGTACTTCCTTTCTTGTACCGTTGCATTTCTTGTTGCTGGCATCGCCGTTGCCGTTGCAAGTACCGTTCACTAATTTGTCACTCATTATTGAATTTTTTGTAGAATTTTCCTTTATACTAGATATTGTCCTAAACAAGAATCACAAATTATGCATATATATATATATATATGCAGATTTTTATGTACACTGAAAATACCGATCTAAAAGCACATTGATTATTATACGAAAAAACAGAGGCGACGTGCACACTTCGAGCGCCAAGTGTTGTTTGTGCCGAGTCTTGAGTACGTTTAATATTTTTATTTCGACAATCCCGAAGCAGCTACTTAGTTTTTGTTTTGCTTATCAGCGCGCGAACGCTTCGAAGTTTTTTCAAGTGTGTGTAATTTTAATGTTCTAGTCGCTCTACAAATGTGTTGCTCAATTGACGTTCCCTTAAACTAAAACTAACAGCTGACCGCCAGTGTGACCGAACCTGTGAATGCGGTAAAATACTAAAACGAAAATTCGAAAAAAATATTTCCATGCCAATTGATTACCTATGGCTAATCAGCAAATATTTCTAAAACTCTCTTCTTATTACGAATTCATCATTATTTCAAAATATATCCATATATAAATAACTTGTTAAATCAAGTCGACAACAAAACATTGCCTTTAGGAGAGTGCGAATACAAAACCTCGATAAAGGGCGGCGCATAAACGATACTAATGCTTCTTCTTCACATACCGACAAGTGCCGCGATTTGTTGCTCCCAAAGAAATTTGTTTTTCGTGCGTTCTTAAAAAAGTGAAATAAAGTTAAGTCTAGAAGAAAATGCGTGCGTACGCAATACGATTAACAAGCAAACACTGCTGCGTAAATCATGTCAGATTTGATTTCGGCATTGTTTAGTAGACAGCCTCGAGACATTGACTTATTTTATTTAAATTTCACGTGCTAAATTCCGAAAAGTATTAATATAACAATTTGTCTGAAACTTTTTCATTAAACGCTGCATCGTGAGCTAGTGGCGAAGTGTTGGTAGCTTCGCGTAATTCGCGGTGCTCAGTAATTGATTACAAAATGTCGAAACGGGAAACAGCGTCTCTAAGGGAATATGCTGCAGCCGAGGACCGTTTGCTTGACCTTTTTTCGCCGCCCTCCGGCACAGATGAGGAAACGAGCCCAGAATTTGCTCATACTGTAGCAGCGACTTCTGCATTGCATCAACAGAATCAGAATGTGGTCGAAGTAGATCCGTCAAGGGACAACATGCTGCAGTTCATATCGGATGATTCGGAAATACGCAGTCTGCTAGCTAGTTCTGAAAGCAACGGCTTTAAGGGGTTTGATGATGAGCTGCAAGACTACAGCGAAGTAGTTGGTGATACGCGAGAACCGAGAAGGCATTCTCTCATTTTCGGCATGTGCCGTAACCCTGATAACTTTATAGGTTGCCCAACACCAAAACGTGCATTTCTCAGTCCGCAGATTGCAAGTAAGCAGTTTGGCTCAGCTTAAATCGATTTGCACAACTCACGTAATCTTTTTATTTTAGGTACACCCATAGCACTGCTGCAGGCAGCCACTTCTCCTGGCTATATTCTTACAAACGGCAATATCAATGGCACCGAGTCAGAGCATTCGCTCGAGGAGCAGGTGGCAATTGAGTGCCAAAATGTTATTCAACAGTCGCACACGGAATGCGTAATTTATGACAATAATGTTGTGTTGCTGACGGATGAGCAATGTTGCGAGATAATCGTGGCTGCCCACGGCGTGCATACGGATCAGGAAGTGGAGCGAGCCTATTTGATGGGGTTGCAACCCGTTGCAAATGAGCAGGAGCAGCTGAACAATGACGTTAGTTACAGTAGCGATTTGTGCCCAGCTGAGGAGGACGAAGAGGCCAGTGCCGAGCCTCATGTTTACCTCAGTGATGCTGCACTAGACCGGCAGTACCAACAGCAGCAGCTACTGCTCGATGCAGCCGAAGAGGATGCCAATCAAGTTAGCGACTCGTTTGTGGACGATAGACCGGACATTTGCGAGGTGTACGACCACGAGCTGGAGGACCAGGACGATGACTGTGCAGCAAATGAGCACGAGGAGGGCAGCTTGCAGCTGCAACTGCAGCAGATTGTCATGGGGCAGCAGCAGCTCACCATTCCTAGCGATGTTGAGGAGCCGCGGCAATCCATCCATGCCAGCGATGTAGGGGATCAGCAGGGAAAACAAGCTACTGCTGCTGCAGCTGCTGCTGCGGCGACGGCTGCAATACCACACAGTAGCACCACAGAGTTTCCAGTAAGTTCCACTTCCATGCCAAATGGCAGCGACTACGATGACTACGACGATGAGCTGGGCACAGCTGAGATGCAATCGCCGCCTCTGCGGAAGTATATGCCACTGCTAAAAAATACGCTATCCGCAGAGGCCGTGGATCGTCGGTTGGCAAACATATGTCAGTCGCAGCCGCAGATGAGCCTTAGTGAAAAGATGGCAAATTGGAATTGTGCACACAGCTGCGAAGCCGTCGAGGATGTGGAAAACTTTGAGGCTGTATTTGAACAGCATGAAGCTGAACCTGCCAAACAGCCCAAGTTCAGTGAGTTCTGCGAGATTTTGCGGCAAGACTATACTAAAATCACGCAAGAGATACAAGCACGTTCTGTGGGCGATGTAGTAGATGCAGCCATAGCACCGGATACGCCATACTCCAGCGAAGATGCAGCCAGGCAAAAGAGACCATGCTATAGACGCCTACTGCACACAATGCCGGTCCAACAGACAGAGGTCATCGTGCTAGACGATGATGACGAGGACGACGATGATTGCTATGAGGTAACGATTAATCCATCTACAACAACACTGGTTCCAAGGGTAAACAAAAAATTTGAGCGAAGGGATCCTGTGCTCAAGACAACTCAGACCCAAACCAATTTGCCACTTCGTTTGGAAACAAAGGAAACCTCTACCACAGATCTGGGAAATCGCATAGTACCCTCTGAGCAACAGGAGTGCAACAAATTCTCCCAATTCGCTCAGGACTTAGTGCAGCCTCAAGTGGGAACTTTACAGCAGAAATTGGAAGTGCAAGAAAAGGAGGTCGAAAGCCAGAAACTTCGAGTGATTCAACAACAGCAGCAGGAAGAACGCCAGCCTGCAGGTAAGTTTTTCTTACCTATATGCGTTAAATGTTATCAATATCGAGGCTAGTTTATCATCGCCGCGCCGAAGCCAGCCAGCTTCCTTATAAGTTTTTAAAGCTAAGGGATAAGAAAATGAAGTTTTTCCAAATAAGATTTGAATTTGTTTATCAGGCTCTCTTTTGCTCTTAATTATTTCTCGTAGGGCGCGCGAGCAGTGTGGAATGCAACAATGATGCGCAGTTCTCAGAGCAGCATGAGTTTTGCAACTATCTGGGCCTCACAGAACTGGCAACGGCCAATGCAGTAGCCTCCGCGATGCGGGAATTGGCCAACAGTAACGTGGCGCGTCGCTCGCTGCGAGTGCGAACGCAGCAGCAGCTGGACCGAATGCGCAGCGACGTGCGAGGCAAGCGAAGAGAGCGGCAGCAGCAACAGCAACATCAACAGCAACGGGAGCAGCAGCCGCAAGAAAATAGTGGTCAGCGTTTAAATGGCGATAGCGACAGCAGCAGTAGTAACATCAGCAATGTTAGCGGCATCAAAAAGACTGCTTTAAGCGGAATCTCAGCAGTGGCAGAAGCTAGCAGCTCGTTTGAATACCCCAGGCCTTCCGCAATGAACGCCGTCCCAGTTTCCGCTCCAACTATTGAGTACTACTATCATGCTCAGTGTGGTGAGCAGCAGAACCACCATAGCAATACCTTGATGGTAGCCAGCGATTTTCACCAAATGTCCTTAGAGGCGGCATTCGCGAAGGTCTATGCCGCCGCAGCGCCTGCCCAAAATGAGCTGCATGAGTGCATGCAGAGTCGACTGCGCCAGGCACGCGAGACCAAGCCTTCTATCTATATAGTGAAGGCATTGAATAATGCCCCCGCGCCGACCGTTGTCCCCAGCACCCACAGCTCGACGCATGCATCGCCCGAGCGCCTACAGTACAATAAAAAACCCGAGCAAGCCGGTGCAGCCAAGTTGTCGCGCAAGACGCCCAAAAAACTAATGCCGAAGGCCTCAAAACGTCGTCGCACCACCGTCGGTGTCGGCTCTGCGACTGCGCCGCATGAACGCGAGCTGGTCACGCGATCGACCACACATATGAACTCGAAATTGCTGCGCAATCGTAAGGTCAACTTGCTGAAGAGCTACGAGCTGTCGGATGCGATGGCACAGGGACGTGGCAAGCGCCTGAGCGGCGGCTCGACACCTTCTAACAAACGCCTTAATACGCCTAAAGTGGTAAAGAAAAGTCTGAAGAAGTCACCAACGCCAACCGAGCAAGTTGTGATTAGTCATGCATCCTCACAGCAGCATCGTCCCGATCAGCAGCAACCTTCTCCGAAGCCTAAAAAGTCGCGGGCGCAGCCAGATGAACAAAAAGTCACGGTCAAGCGGAAGCGTTTGCGTGCCAAATCGCTGCCTTCGGCACTAAATATACAACAAAAGCAGCCAACGGGGGTTGGAGACACCAACGTGCTCACAGTGACGTCTGATCGGAACCCCAACCAGCAACAGCAGACAAGTATATTGATGGACACACATGAGTTCATCACCAATCATGCTGCGGTCAGTCCGCCCCTATACAGTGCAGCAGTGCGTCGTTATGTCAATGCAGTTTGCAACCCCAAGGAACAGCAATCTCCGGAGCATCAGCAGCAGCAGCAGCAGTTACAGCCACAGATGCCCGAGGGATTCTATGATCTGTCGTTATCTTATGCGCAGCTTGCCAAGCCTTCATTAATGTATCCACCATTATCACCGCCGCCTTCACAGCGAGCGCCCCACTTTTCTCGACGAGCTCGCCAAGTAGCCGGCACGAACGACAACGTGGATGAACCTCCAGTGCCCAACATTCAGATAACGCCACCAGGTGGCCTTTTGTCCCTTACTAAGGGATCAACAGCGCTACGCAACCCGCTGGCGGGCAAGAATGGCAAGGTGCTGTATATATACTATGAGCTGGACCAGCTGATAGTGCTGCAGGAGAAGCTGGTCTCTTTTTGGAAGTACTCCAAAGTTTTTAATGTACTGCAGAAGGCGACAACTGAAGACATCCATGCCACAGCGACCCAACAGCATGCATTTAACATATTCGGCACAACCCCAAATCAAAATACACAAAAAGACTCTGCGGACTCGGACAAATCCGACGAGAACAATAACCAGCGATGGATATATTTGGGTGGAACGCGCCGCATTACAAACGGTCAGTACTGACTTTATCTTAATGCCGATATTTAACTATTTTCTAACTAAATAGATATTGAAATTGTGACGCCACACTGCAATCGTATGTGCGCACACAACTCGACGCCCGTTTACATCGAGATGCGTAGTCATCCGCTGGACCATCATAAGCGCGAGAGCAAACTTTTATCGCTGTACGTGAATGTTTACTATTATTGTGAGGAGGAGCTGCGACCCAAAATGCATTCAGTACATCTCGATGCGGTCAATTGGTGGGTATTATATAATATTATATTGTATTCCATAATGTACAAATCTTCTGACTTATCATGTAGCGAATGGAACCAGGTAATCTACACGAGCATAGCAGAATCGCGCTACTTTGTAATGGCCTGGCAGCAGGAGCTAGTTGTGGGCAAGCCCAGGGCTGGCATTTGCAAGTACTCGCTGACGCCCACACTCGATACCCTAGCAAGCATAAGAGAGTTCAAACAGCTGCGCCATGAGCTAAGGCACATTGAGTGCCTAACGGAGGATCGCTTGATTGGCTATGGGCACACGCGCATAACCATTTGGGACCATCGCAGCGGTGACACGTTAATGAACTATGATTTTGGATTTAACTTAGGCCAAAATCTGGGGGTAATGCATTTTCCCAGCTTTGACATCGATCAGAGCAGCATGCTCGTTTTGTATCAACATGTCAAGGAAATAAACAAATGGCCCGAGTTGCGTATCATTGCCTGCGAGTTGTCGCATGCCACACCGACACATCGCGTACTGCACGTGCACCGTCTGCCTTCTCCGCATTTTGACAGTCAATTGGTGGCCATCAATACGGGCGATCATCTGATCCTTAAATCGCCGAAGGACGATGAAATCTGGATTAACGTTGCGGATCCGAGACAACTCACATATTTGGCACCCCAAGACAATCGGCGCTTCTACACACGCCAAAAGTCTCAGATCATTACAATGACGCCGAGCACCCTTACCGTGGACAGCATTGCTAATCATGTGCTTAAACTGGCCACAGCGCATCAGGAGAAGATGATGATAGCGGCTATGGAGGTGATGGCGTCAGCTGGCTCACAATTGCCCGTGTCCGTGTAGAGAGTACATAAAAAATCCCGCACCAACCAAGCAAAACAAAAAAAAAAAACCAAAATTTCCCGTCTTTTAAATGTAGCTTGGCAATTGAATATAGTTTTAAGTTATTTTAATTAATCCTTTAATGCTTACCAAAATTTGTTCGTAACTCCGTACCGTCTAATTCTAAATATAACTGTAAATTCAGATGCTTTTGAAGTAGTATCGTTACTAACCCGTTTTAGTTAAACCTTATAGCCATAAATCTATATGAACGCATACAAATTTATATGTATGTAAATACATTTACCTCCTAAAGAGCGGAATTCAATATCAATCGTTGTCTGGAAGTCGAGAACATATGAGCCCAGTTGATTTATTATATTTTTTAATTTAGATTTAGCTTTCAAATCAAGCTTTACATAACGTGTTTATTTTTATGTTCTAAAAGAAAACATTTCTTTAGGCTTAACTCTAGCATAATGCTAGCTATGTACTATATATGAGTGGAGAGCTCTTAACGCACCAGAAGAGCGTGTTAAGTTCAGTTATAACTTTAAAACAATAAAATGAATATAAAAGATCATATAAATAATAATCAAATTTTTAATTATGAAATGCATTTCTTAATTTTTGGCGGCTTTAGGCGGGATATACACCGAATCCAGGCTGCAATTAATTGGAGCACGGTTTTTTATTTTGAATGATGTATTTTAAACGCATTTGGTATATGAACTAATCAATTTCAACTACACATTCTTTTAAATCGTTACAGATACAACATTACAAGCTAGTTATTAATTACAATTATTTTTTATCTCTTACTAACAGCTAATTTATGTACAGAAGATATACTTACACGAAATAAAAATTCATAAAAAAATTGTGAAAGTTTATAGACTACAAGTACAAATCTTTACATATACAAAACATGCGTATGACCTATCCATACCATAACATACATGTTAGATGTATCGGCTAAATTTATGTAAATAGATTAGCCCGTCAATTGCATAACGCTTAGACGTTGCTGCTAGGAAGCTGAGTTACGCTAACGCTTTTAATAAACATAATAAAAACTTTAAAATGTTCATTCAAATGCTAAGGAGACTAATAAGTAGTAGTTCCAGTGAAACTTTAGCTAATGATTGGCCTGTAACTATTAGGTCTTCTACTTAAAGTAAAGTTCAAGAATGAAAGTTAAGATTTATATACTTATGTATATGCGCTTGTACAATTAGTGAAATGTTAACCGAAAAGCACTTTAGAACTTAGAACTTAAGAAGGCGCCATTGAAGCGTTAAAGCGAGGAGCCACACCGTCGTTGAGCAATCACTACAATTCCTTGTCTGGCTTTTTCTTTTGCATCGCCGCTGACGCTACCGCTGCTGCTGCTGCTGCCGTCTCGTTCTGGTGCGCCTCCTTGGCAAGCTGCCAGCGCTTAAACTCCACCATTTGCATTATGCGAACGCGCAGCTGCGGTCGCCGCAACATCGCCGCAGCCAGCGTGGTAAACTCCATGTTGTACATGAAGACAACGGGTATGGCGACATCATCTTTGCCATCGCCGGACATCGCAAACATGGGTTGCGTCTCGCCGGAAGAACCTGATACATTATCACAGACGATCAGCGCCGTGGCGCCCGCTTTTTGTGCCAATCGCGCTTTACTCACGAACGTGCAGTCGCCGCGTTCCGCTACAAGTATCTTGCCGGCCACATTGTTGGCGTTTTGCAGCGGCTCGTCGCAGGCCCGCAATGGACTGGCCAGCACAATTTCACCCTCGACAAACTGCTCCCCGATCAGCTCTGGACTGAAGTGCGATGGGCCGGCCATCAGTGCTGTCCAGTCCTGGGACTGATCATCCAAAGCATAAGCAACAGCCTACAAGAGAAAAAAACATCTTAGTTGATTGAATATATCACCAACGAAAACCGATCTAAAATTTTAGTTGCAATACAAAATAGTTTTGAAGTGGAGCGTTTTTTTCACCAACAAATTCAAGAATATCAATAAACACAATCGAAAGCTCATTATATAGACAATTTTAGTTTGATTTTTTCAGTTAATCAAGATCTCACCATAAGGATAGTATTCGCATAATTCTTTTGTTTTGATTTACGCACCTGCAGCTGTGCCAGCTGATTCATGCTCTGCATTTTGGTCAGCTCCAGCATTTCCTGCATAAACTGCAGGCCCATTTCGCCTTCCTCCTGACTTTTGGCCTGTAGAAAATACAAGTGATTGATATAATTTATAAAAGTATTCCATAAAAGATGCCGGAGTGTCAGCTTTTAAATTATGTACCACCAAAATTAAAAGTGTCGACTCAAGAAAGGCAAATGCAACAGAAAACTTACATTATAGAAACTATGAAACAGTCGCACCTTGCCTTGGCTACGATCGCCTACCGAAACCATGGTGATGCCCATGTCGTATACAGCTCGCAGATGATCTGCATTGCTTGCCTGAAAATCCAGGGCGCTGAGTCGCTTGCCACTTGTGGTGCGCGGGCACGAGCCCGTAATGAAGTTGCGCAATGGTTTGCGTACTTTCTCAGGAAAAAGCTTATTGGAACTGGGGCAGGTGCGCATGAAGTCGAGTACATTGTGTTCGTCCGATTGCCGAAAGCCTGTTAATATATAATTATTAGTGATTATGGAATGTATTCGAATGAACTTACTAAACGTGGAATTCCCTAGCTGTGCAATGGACAGCGGCAACAGGTGCGCCTCGGTTGTAAACACAAATTCATCCACATTAATGATTAAATCTTGGGGCTCCGAGAACAGCAAGAACAAATACTTAAATGTCTCCGATAGGACAAATGAGTCCATGCGATCCTCATGCTTGCCGGTTCGCACATCGTTGACAGCAGCATAGCCACAGGCAACTTTCGCATACTGTTGAAGCGTTTTCAGCGCTAGCTTGCCCACCTGAAGGTAGTGATGATCACCGGTGGCGCGGTACAAGAAGTACGTGGACTCAATAAACTCGGGTCGCAAATGGTGCTGGCCCCAATGAATTTGAAAGTCCACAGTCCATGCCTCAGGAATGAGAGTATGCATCTGCATCACTTGGTAGAGCATTTCGTGGGTTTGGACCGCCGGCTTTAGGTCGCCAGATAGCACCTGCAGTCCCGGCCAAAAGGCCAGCAAGGAGTCCATAAAGTTACGCGACTTGGCATGTGGCCGATGCATCAGAACGTCTAGCAGCATAGGACCCTCGCTGACGTACTTCATCACGGCGTTGTAGTGACGATTAAAGCGGGCCAAATATTTGTCATCACCAAGCAGCACATACGATTTAAAAAGATACTCGTAGTAACTATCGATGCCGGCACCCACGCCCGAATCACGACGCACCCAATCTCCAGAGTGCACATTTAGCACCGTGCCCATAAGATCGGAGCCACGATGCCGCAGCTTCCACAATGCATCCATCGCTGCATGCGCGCGCACTTCAAAAATGGGATCACCCGTTAGCCGCGACAATGCCGCAAACTCCAGCAGAATGGTGCCAGCGCATGCGGTGCACGTTTCACGTGACTTCTTTAGCTGTGGATCCTTCATGCCTAGCCGCAAATTAACGCGGGCATGAGGTATGCCCGTCGTGGTGTTAAACGCCGGCAACAGACGGTAGCCCAGTTCGCGGGCCATCTCAAGCATTTCTCCCTTATACCAGTGCATTACGTCCGCTTGCTTCTGCAGATACTCGGCGAGTATGTGCGCTGAGAGTAGCCCGCCCACCATGCGAATATTCGTCTCGAATACCGACACTATGATGTCGCTGTCGAATTGCACGTCGCGTATGACCAGCTTGACAGCGTACTCGAACTCCGCAAAGTCCCCAAGCAGCACCAATGTGTCCAGTGTATCCACTAGCGTCATGGAGAAGCTGCAAAGCATAGAAATAATATATAAAATGATAAGAAATCTTAATGAGTATCACAAACATGTAAATCTTATAAGCATAGCATTGACCTTCGAACACTTAGCTAAGCTGTAACGAATCACATATAAAAATTAAAATATTGATTAGGTATCTAAGTGGCTTAGCCAATGCTTTTGAAAGTGGTCTTCATAGTTTATAAGCACACGATCTTCATATCATCTTCATACAAATACAAATTTCTTTAGGCCTTATATACTCGACCCATTATCAAGATTAGATTATCATACAAGTTATTCCTCATAAATGGAATATATTGTTAATTGTACAAATTGATTTTTTATCTAATCTATTTGTGGTTAAAAGCTCGTGTTTTTGGAGATGCCAAACTTTTCTATAACTGAACTCACTTTCCCAATACGTCGTCCATATCGCCACGAGAGGGGGTCACGCCGCGGTATCGTCCCTTGCATGAGAGCGGCATCAGCTCATCGGCAGGATAGGCGTTCTCCATGTAGGCACGATATGCATGATAGAACATTTCACGGGCTTCTTCACTACAAAACCAATGTGGGACAATTAAAAAAACTTTATAGTGCATATGTGTGAATTAAATTACCGCAATTCGGCGCGTTCCTTGTGCGACATGTTCTGCGTGGGTATCGTACTCGCATCATCGCTGAGCACGCAGACGATTAGCAGGAGGAGGGAGAGCAGTGACGGCAGCAGCAGGCGCTGTGCCACCAGCGACGATACCGAGCTCATCTTACAAATAAGCTGGAACTAGAGTTGGAACTGGAACTGATGCTGAGCTAAGCTTGAGCTAACTGCTAGCTCCAATTCCGAGCAGCTGGTGCTGTTAGTATTTTGTTTTTGGCAGCCACAGTTGCCGTTACTTATCACCTTGGTGTTGCTTGTTGCTTGTGACGTTGACCTTCACTTTGAACGTTTGATTTGTTGTTGCTCTTGGTTATTTGAATTTATCGCGTTGTCCGCTTTAGTTGAGTTTCGCTGCTTTTAATTTTAAAACAGCGCCTCATTTAAATGTATGGACGGTAAGACTGTCATAAAAAAAAAGTAGCATATAGTATATATGTATATGTATATGTACATGGCACTTTACAGTTATGCCTTTTCTCCTTACCCGACGAACAAATTTTGGAATTTATATTGCACTTTTTCTTGCACTTGTGCGTTTGTGGCGTGCTCGGCAGCGTTGTGTGCATTTTTTACAATTCAAAGTAGTAACATTTCAAAATGGTTTATTTTTAATCTTGTTTGCTGCTGCTCCAATAACAAAACACCACGACTGCAAATCGCCGATACCCGAACAACGACCGCTCGCTGCAAGATTAATTTATATGCTGCTCTTGTTTAGTATGCACACATTGTGTTATGATGAAATGCCACATATGAGTGAGTGTTGGTCGTATTTAATTACGCTTTGCTGGCAGTTGTTAAATTAGTTAAATGGGCCGTTCTTATCAATTCTATGCAGTAAATTATAGTGCGAAAAGATTAGTGTTGGAAAAAATATATAAATGTTTTAATACATCGGTACTTTTATAGGTATATGGTCACCTAAAATAAATTGTGCAAGAATGACACCTTCAATTTATGTAATACCTTGAACTTATTAAAAAATGTAAGCCAATAATTTTGCTTTAGAAATCACAACTTTTCGATCAATAAAAATAACAAATTTGTCTGTTTAAAAAAATAAATGATGGAGCTAGTAGCACCGGTAATATCATTGAAATATCAAAAATCTATTAAAGCTGTCAGTGTAGCACAACATATTACGTTCATAATGTGACCAAACGCAGCTCATGACAGTGTTGGGAAACCGATAGACGACAGCTGATGCCGCCGCGCTTTTAAAAGTGTCTACATTTAAGTCTAAATAAAATGGTAATTATATTTGCTTAAATAAAAATCAAGTAAATAATTATAAACATTTAAATAAGTAGAGACGCAGCTTGGCGCCCAGCCAACGACTAGGAGTGCGCATTAAATCAAAGGATGCATTCACCCCGCCACTTCAAAAGAAAAACAAACGTGTGTGCCAGATAGAGCTGCAGAAACGCCAAAGCGCACTGCGGGATGCCACCAACATTGTGGAGCTGCCGCTCCCGATACGTTTTACGGCGAATAGCGAATATGAGCAGGCCATTGCCAAGGTGCTAGCGCGCAAGTTCAAAGTTCCCATTGCAAACTATGTTCCAGATTACGGTGGAAATCGTACGTTGGGAGTGCGTCGTTCCATAGTACGGCGGGCATTGCACGATCCACAAGCGTGCAATGCACTGGTCCTGTATACGCCACCCGCTTACACAGAGCACGAGCGTATGTCGCTGGACCCCAGCAAGCTACAGGTGCATGTCGTTGTGGATCCAATCCTTAGTAACGTGCTGCGTCCGCACCAGCGTGAAGGCGTGCGCTTCATGTATGAATGCGTGGAGGGCAAACGAGGTAATTTTAACGGTTGCATAATGGCTGATGAGATGGGGCTGGGCAAGACGCTGCAGTGCGTCACATTAACGTGGACGCTGTTGCGCCAGAGTCCCGATTGCAAGCCAACCATCTCGAAGGCCATAGTGGTGTCGCCTTCGTCACTGGTCAAAAACTGGGAGAAGGAGTTCACAAAGTGGTTGCACGGCCGCATGCACTGTCTGGCAATGGAGGGCGGCTCCAAGGAGGACACAATACGCACTCTAGAACAGTTTGCCATGAATACAGCGACGCGCTGCGGCACACCCGTGCTGCTGATCAGCTATGAAACATTTAGGCTCTATTCACACATACTTTGCAAAACGGAGGTGGGCATGGTCATCTGCGACGAAGGCCATCGGCTTAAAAACAGCGACAATCTAACATACCAGGCGCTAATGGGCCTTAAGACCAAACGACGCGTCCTGCTCTCCGGCACGCCGATACAAAACGATCTGACTGAGTATTTCAGTTTGGTCAATTTCGTTAATCCGGAAATGCTAGGAACAGGTTCTGATTTCAAACGTAACTTCGAGAATGCCATTCTGCGTGGTCAAAATGCCGACTCCACGGACGCAGAACGCGAACGTGCGTTACAGAAAACACAGGAGTTGGTTGGGCTGGTTAACCAATGCATTATACGTCGCACCAATCAAATCCTAACCAAATATCTGCCCGTCAAATTTGAAATGGTCGTCTGCGCCAAGCTAACGGCCGTACAACTCCAGCTCTATGCGAACTTCCTTAAATCGGATCAAGTGCGTCGAAGTCTGGCAGGTAAGGTGATAGTCAAACTAGAAGCCTGACTCGTTAGTACTCACATATTTAACTTACAGATTGCACTGACAAGACAACGTTGACGGCTTTGGCCGACATAACTACGTTGAAGAAGCTATGCAATCATCCTGATCTGATCTACGAGAAAATAGCAGCACGGGAAAAAGGTTTCGAAAACTCGCAGAATGTTTTGCCGCCCAACTATAAGCCAAAGTAAATTGAAAAGCTTTCCTGTTTTTAAATTGCGCTTATATTTGATCTATTTATAGAGACGTCAATCCCGAGCTGAGTGGAAAGTTTATGTTGCTTGACTTTATGCTGGCTGCCATACGTGCCAACAGCGATGACAAGGTGGTCCTCATCTCGAACTACACGCAGACGCTGGATCTATTTGAGCAACTGGCGCGTAAACGCAAATACAGTTATGTACGCTTGGATGGCACAATGACGATCAAGAAACGCTCTAAGGTTGTGGACAGATTCAATGATCCCGCCACCGACTGCTTCCTCTTTATGCTCAGCAGCAAAGCAGGTGGCTGCGGTTTAAATTTAATAGGCGCAAATCGTTTGTTCATGTTTGACCCCGACTGGAATCCGGCAAACGATGAGCAAGCAATGGCTAGAGTCTGGCGTGATGGACAAAAGAAGCCCTGCTACATCTATCGCCTGGTGGCGGTAAGTTTCACAAAGCATTTACCGCTGATCCAATTTTATATAACATCTTTCTCTGCAGAGTGGCTCAATTGAGGAGAAAATTCTACAGCGGCAGACACATAAGAAATCGTTATCTAGCTCAATTATAGATAATAACGATTCGGCAGAAAAGCATTTCACACGAGACGATCTTAAGGATTTGTTTAGGTTTGAGGCCAACGTACTATCCGACACCCACAACAAGTAGGTGCCATTGACTCAGCGTGTATTGGGCCCATCTTATGTTTCTTTCGGTGCCTTTCAGACTTAAGTGCAAGCGCTGTTTCCAAGATGTGCAAAGACAGCCGCCACCAGACAACTCGGACTGCACCTCGCATCTGTCGCAGTGGTTCCACTGTTCCAATAACCGCGGCCTGCCTGACAGCATTCTTTCCCAGGCTTGGACGGCGAGTAAATGTGTTTCCTTCGTATTTCATCACCGCTCGCAGGGAGACGTGAAACAGGCGACCTGCACAACGGTGGACAATCATTCGGAACAGCAGCAGCTGAATTCTATGCGTAATGCCAATAAGGTGCTGCCAAGTGATGATGGTGATGAAGACTTTGACCCAAATAGTAGTGATGAAAAATTTTTGGGTTTTTAGCTGCTTTCAATTTAAAAATAATTTATTTAGTTGCGGAACCTGATTTAGAGTTTAGGCTAATCTAAAACTAATTCTCTTGTTATTTGTTAACAATTAACCTAATATACATAAGTAGTTTAACATTTAAAATATGGAACCTACAGCTCTCAAGGCTTGTCCACTCCATAAACAGAACTACAAGCGCCTGAAATGGCTTAACCTAGTGCACAATTCAGTTATACAAAACACTCATATACGGGCAAATATTATGATAATACATAGCATAATAATATACACGTATATATGCATAAGTAATATACCAATGCAGTGTTAACACAGTCAATAGAACACATTAGTGTGTGTGTACATATTTAGAATGGGAGTTAAACGTCGATTATTTTATGTTCAAGTTCGACCCACACATTGCTCTTCTCCGGTGGCTTTTGCAGCGGAGACGGCTGCTGTTGTAGCTCGAACAAAAAGCCTCCAATGCTTTGGTAGTAACTGCAAAATAAAATCAAATAATAATTAATTAGACATCTATCACTTGCTATGCATTGAAAATTAACTATTTTAAATAAATATTCTTAATCATCGAATGAATATAAAACAAATAATTTCTATCAATGTTAGGTTTTAATTTATATTTATATATGTTAAATAGACTTGCTGATATTGTTATTTGTGATTAGATTCAGCCTCAACAGAATTCCGAATATCAGGAAAATTATGAAGTAAATATGATATAGTGGCCCAATGTTGATTTGATTTCGCATATATGTGAGAAGCATAATGAAAGTAATAAATGCAGAGATTGATCAAGATATCTTGATATTAGCACGTTATTTGTAAATAAATAAATTTGACTTTCTCAATATAAGCGTGAATTTTTTAAATCAGCACAGCCGCGATAGAAATTGTTCTTCATCGCTCTCGAAACAGAATCAATTTATTTTTAAAATGGCACATGGCTTACCCATCCACTATCCAGGTGTCGTTGTGCGAGCCTCCCGGGAATTCAAGCATACGCTTCTGTTCACTTCCGCATTTAGTATACAAGGCACGCATCATGCGCGGTGGCACTAGGTTATCTGCAAGGCCCGATAAAAATAGAAAAGGCACCGAACACTTGCTTATCTTGTTAAGTGAATGATACTGCAACGGAAAAGGGGTATAATATGAAGGCAAAGTCAAAGAGAATCGCTGAAAATTTACCTTATTTTTATACAACAGATTTGGTATGTATTTCACAGATGGATGCACCAGTTCCACGGCCATATCACGTATGCTGGTGAACGTATTCTCTACAATAGCGCACATCAGTTTCTGGCCATAAACGGTGTCGGCGGCTACATCGATTACAACGGCGCCGCCCAGCGAGCGACCAAAGAGTATTAGCTGTGAGTGATCCAGGTCGTGGCGCGTGTGCAAATAATCAATTGCAGCGCGAGCATCTGTTACCAGACCACGCTCCGAGGGAACGCCCGTCGATAGGCCATAGCCACGATACTCGACCATTAAAATGTTGCAATGAAGATGATGATAAATGCCCCACACCTGCAAAAAAAAAGGCAAATTCACATAAGAGCAGGAACAAAAGCATGTTGAACGCGCATTCTTTACATTCTGCATGCGGTGACCCATGTTTCCAGCGTTGCCATGAAAATATAGTAATGTGGGCACGGATTTGCAACGTTCCTCAGGCTGACTGATCCAAAAGGCGTGTAGCGTCACGCCATCAGGCGTCTTTATGCTAACTGTTAGATGTGGCAGGTTGTGCATAGTTGGGATCGGTATGTAAATGCGTGAATTCGTTGGCAAGTCCGGATGGTACAGCAGCAGGTCTTGTGCATGGTAGAAAATGACTGCAAGTAAAGAAAGACTTGTGTAATAGCCATGTGAGTTATGTTATCGTTTACGTACGTAATAGAATGGCTGCGAAGAGCGTAAGCGTCATATAACCCCCATAGAAATAGTAGAAAATAAAAAACAGTAAAAAGGCGCCCACAATGCCTACGCCCACACCTCGCGATTTGGGCAACGCTATGCCCACTTCTTTCATTATGAACACGTGCGTAGGTACACAAACCCGCTACATGCTGCGATTCTGACAATTTGTAATGCAAAAGAACATTATTTGGGTAAATAGCTGAATTGAAAAGCGTCGACGTAGTTAGTGTAGTTGTCGTGGAACTGCCAACTTGGTATTGGTTTAATTAAAAATCTGGCAGCACAAAATCAGCTGAAAACAATCGGAAACAGGTGTGTAATTGCGATGAATTTATGCAACTCTGGCCAATTCGATTAATTCGGACCTCAATGCATTCCTGATTAAAACAAAATGGCGTATATTTTACTGCAATAGACCAAGACGACGTGAACATCTTTTGTGTGGTTGAAAACTGCATTTAAAAACAAGTGGCCTACTTTAAGAATCAAAATAAACATTTGTCAGAACCGTTAAAAAGTGTATTGCATGTTTAATGAGCGCTATAAGGCAACTCTGTGTGCTACCACGAAAATATAATGAGCCAGGTAAGTAGGCCTTGAAAAAGCTGTGACAGTGAACGTCGTGTAAGAGAAAAAAATAACAAGAAAACTATGAAATTTTTCTATCACTCGAAACAAGGCGATATCAATCAGTTGAATTCGAGTCGTCGTGTGAGTATTATTCTAAAAAACTGTGTCATATTAAATTTCTACGCTGCTTTTGTGGGTGTGGCAGGTGCCAGTCACGAAGACAGACCCTAGAGGTGTCCCCCCGATTGAGACTCCGTCACACGTACATCAATTTGTGCGCTATTCAGAGCGGCTTTTTATAAAAAAGTGCTTAAATATCATATATTCAATGGTGTTTCACAGTTTTGACAACGCCAACCGGTGCCCGGGGATCCAACGTGGCAGCCAGTGTAATTTTTCTAAAAATCCATTGGGGACCCATTTTCGCAAATTTCGTTTGAAATTGGGCATTTCGGTTTGTTTTCGTTGAATGCCGCATCCAAACAGCAATAATTTGCATTATTTTCGTACATTTCCAGTATCAAATGAAAATTTTCGTCGATTACGTAATCACATTTTGTCCGGTGCAAAGTTTTTCTCGTGCTCCAATCCATGAATTCCTGGCCAATTTTCTTGGGTAATCAGCCCGCCAAAATATAATTTGCAAAGAACTGTCTCTGTTTTCTTAAAATGTTTGATAAAAAACTGTATTATTAATTATTTTAGCCCGATTTCAGTGCATTGAAACAACAATGTTGTCCCTCTAGACCAAGAAAACTTCCTCAGTAGCACAAAATCTGCGGATTTTTGATGTTTTAACCGGCTTTTTTGTCCAGGATCGTGTATAAAGTGTTTTTCATCCATTTCTGTGTGGTACGCCTGCTTACCCAGTTCAGACAACGTTCTCAAGCCACCAAACCTTGATACTGACAACAAAAAAGTTCTTTAAAGGCTACAAACTGCATTTCTGGAGAGGATTACTTGTGCAACTGCATTCTACAGAAGGTTTTTTGTGTTGCAAGCGAAGGCATTGTTGACATCTTCGGATGCGGCAACTGCAAGAACTCCTTCAATTTTTAAGCGTTTTGTGGTTATTTCGATAATACAAGGATACCTCGTATTCTTAGCCAGGATTAAGTGCATATTTAAGTTCTTGTGTGAACATATTACGAACATGTACCATACTCTTTAACCAACAGTGTGTGGTAAGTTCTTTTAATTTCTAATTGCTTTTGCAGAATTATTGGTGGCTTAAAGGTTAACCAAAGGATGTGCCGCTAAAAGGGCTCATATAGATTAGATGCAGTCATACCTTGCATAATACCTTATCCTGTAGCGATACCTAACGATGAATCCTGGTTTAACCTTCATTCGTAAACTCCATAGAGGAATATTAAACCTAATTGCAGTAAATCTGTTCTTGACAGGATAAGCTGTTGACTACGAATGCAATCTGTATGAGTAATTGGAAGTGTTATATATTAAGTTAGCTTGCAGATATTTGTAAACCGAGCCTTGAATGATAGTGTACTCAGTTTTTTTTTAATAGTTGAATTTGTTGTGTTTTCTTAAGCACATTCGGTGAAATTGTGGACTTTTTCGTTGTGAATAAAACGGTTTTCGAACGCGTGTTACTATTTAACATTTTCGAAACTTGTTTGCTCCCTTGAAGCTCTCTGTATAAAATTGGATATAATCGTGCTCTTTATTCTTACATAGGCACTCAATGAATCGTCGCATAGTATAGGCTCAGACGAACAAGATGACACACGTGAAGAAGCCAGTGGCAGTGGCAGCGGTAGTGGGAGTGGCTCCTCCGGTACCGACTCCGATTCAGACAGTTCCTCAGGTAATTCCAGCGATGGACGCAGCTCGCCGGAGCCAACGGTTGCCAAAACGGCGGTGGCGGGTTTTCCACCAACAGCAGCGGCCGCTCAAGCAGATACCAAAACGAATGGCTTTACGGATGGAAACGACGACGACAGCTCTAGTGCCGGTTCCAGCGCCAGTGATTCCGAATCTGATGCGGAGGGTGGCGGCGAGCCTGACACGCCAAGCAACAACAACATCAACAATAGCAAATTGCACACGAGTAGTAGCAGCAGCTCCTCGGGCACCTCTGCCGCAACGTTGGCTAAGGCTGGCGCGGATGATGACGATGACGACGATGATGATGATGACGATGATGGCCAGCAGCCACAAAAGACGCAGGCCCCCAGCGAAGCCAGCGCCGATGAAGATGATGCCAGTGATAGCTCTGACAATGCCTCGCCCACATCCTCTAGCAGTAGTAGCAGCAGTGTAAGTTTCAAGCTTCTGATTAAGTGGCTCCAAAAACATGAGCTCTTTTGCTTTGCCTAACTCGACAGGAGGATGAGGAGGATGATTACAGACCCAAACGATCCACGCGACAGCCGCGCAAAGCTCCGCCACCTGCTGCTGAAAAATCCAAGCGACCTACCAAAAAGAAGAAGAAAAACCAAACGTAAGTTTATTTGTGGAGATCTAGTTTGTCAGCTAAGCCTGTTGATAGGGATTAACATTCAGTCAAGCCTTTTTTTTTAAATTATATTACGGTTTTGGTTACAGTTACTAAGTTTGAAGAGCTAGAAAAATAAATTAAAAAGACATTTGTAAAAGGTCCTCCTAAGCTTTTTGTGGTTAGTTTCCTAATGTAGTAATTGGTTAGTAAATTGTATTATTATTATTTATTAATTGTATAGTAATTATTCGTTATTTAGCAAACTGCACAAAAAGATTCGGTACATATTCGTTGAGAATTGGGAGAAATACTGTTATTTTTTTGTTATTCTACTATTTTAGGTAAATAGGTCAGACAAAATTTAAATTGTCCTCGAAATGTTACCAGTGACAGTTAGGAATTGCTAATCAGGACATCTCACAATGATTTGCTTTTCGATTCGTAGATTATTCAAAAAGTAGTTCAAACGAATTACTTTAAAAACATTGTGCGCAACCTTTTAAGCATCTATTCATACACAGTTGGGACTCTGAGGAGAGCGATGAGAGTGACGACGCAGATAGCGATGAGGCGCCATTTACAGCACAGAAACGCAAGTGCAATGCCCGCTCGGGCGGCAACAAGCAATCACAGCAGCTGCAGCGACGCCGCGTAAAGTCCTTTAGTTCGGAAGACAGCGACGATGATGATGCGAGCAAGCGGTAAGCCAATAATATTATAATGAAGCTCTCACTCATTTTCCATTCAACACATTAGTTGCGCAACTCGTCGTAACGCCGCTGCTGTTAGTTACAAAGAGGCCTCTGAGGACGAGGCCACCGACTCCGAGGATCTGTTGGAATTTGAGTACGACGAGAGTCAGGCAGCTGCGAGCGCGGTTGCCGCTGAGGAGGAGGAAAAGTGTGAGACCATTGAACGAATACTTGCGCAGCGTGTGGGAAAAAAGGGCTGCACAGGTAATCAGACAACCATTTATGCCATCGAGGAGAACGGCTGCGATCCGAATGCGGGCTTCGATGAATCATCGGAACTGGCGGAGGTGCAATACCTGATCAAATGGAAAGGTTGGAGCTACATACACAATACCTGGGAGTCGGAGACGACATTACGCGAAATGAAGGCCAAGGGAATGAAAAAGCTGGACAACTTCATCAAGAAGGAGCAGGACACAGCTTACTGGCGTCGTTATGCCGGTCCCGAAGATATAGATTACTTTGAGTGTCAGCTAGAGCTGCAGCATGATTTGCTTAAGTCCTACAACAATGTGGACCGTATAATAGCGCGGGGCACCAAACCCGAAGACGGCAGCGAGGAGTTTTTGTGCAAATGGCAATCTCTGCCCTATGCGGAGTCCACGTGGGAGGATGCAACACTAGTGCTAAGGAAATGGCAACGTTGCGTTGAGCAGTTCACCGAACGAGAAAACTCCAAGTGGACGCCATCGCGACACTGTCGTGTGATCAAATATCGCCCCAAGTTCTCGCGCATCAAGTCACAGCCCGAGTTTCTGGTGGACGGACTGACACTTCGTGATTACCAAATGGATGGTCTGAACTGGCTGCTGCACTCGTGGTGCAAGGAGAACTCTGTCATACTAGCCGATGAGATGGGCCTGGGCAAGACCATACAAACTATATGCTTTCTCTATTCGCTCTTTAAAATTCATCATCTGTATGGACCATTTTTATGTGTGGTGCCGCTCAGCACAATGACCGCCTGGCAGCGGGAGTTCGATTTGTGGGGACCCGATATGAATGTAGTAACTTACCTGGGCGATGTAAAGTCCCGTGAGCTAATACAGCAATACGAGTGGCAGTTTGAAGGTTCCAAAAGACTGAAATTCAATTGCATATTAACCACCTATGAGATTGTGCTGAAGGACAAACAGTTTCTGGGCACGCTTCAATGGGCAGCATTGCTGGTGGATGAGGCGCATCGTCTGAAAAACGACGACTCCCTGTTGTACAAATCGCTTAAGGAGTTTGACACGAATCATCGACTGCTAATTACGGGTACTCCACTGCAGAACTCCTTGAAGGAGCTCTGGGCTCTGCTGCACTTCATTATGCCCACTAAATTCGATACATGGGACAACTTCGAGCTGCAACATGGCAATGCCGAGGACAAAGGCTACACGCGTCTGCATCAACAGCTGGAGCCTTACATACTGCGGCGGGTTAAGAAGGATGTGGAGAAATCGCTGCCTGCCAAAGTAGAGCAAATACTGCGGGTGGAGATGACATCGCTCCAGAAGCAGTACTACAAGTGGATACTTACCAAAAATTTTGATGCGCTTCGCAAAGGCAAACGCGGCTCCACCTCCACCTTCCTCAATATTGTCATTGAGCTAAAGAAGTGCTGTAATCATGCGGCGCTCATACGACCCTCAGAGTTTGAGCTTTTCGGTTTACAGCAGGATGAGGCACTTCAGATGCTGCTCAAAGGCTCCGGCAAGCTGGTGCTGTTAGACAAACTGTTGTGTCGGCTTAAGGAGACGGGCCATCGTGTGCTCATATTTTCACAGATGGTTCGCATGCTTGACGTGCTTGCCGATTATCTGCAGAAGCGACATTTCTCATTTCAGCGCTTGGACGGCAGTATTAAGGGCGAGATGCGGCGTCAGGCGTTGGATCACTTTAATGCTGAGGGTAGCCAGGACTTTTGCTTCTTGCTATCAACACGTGCCGGCGGCTTGGGCATTAATCTGGCCACAGCCGATACAGTCATTATATTCGATTCGGATTGGAATCCACAGAATGATTTGCAAGCGCAGGCGCGTGCCCATCGCATTGGCCAAAAGAATCAGGTGAACATATATCGCTTGGTCACGGCACGCTCCGTCGAGGAACAAATTGTGGAGCGTGCCAAGCAAAAAATGGTGCTCGACCATTTGGTGATACAGCGCATGGATACCACAGGCCGAACGGTGCTAGACAAAAGCGGCAATGGGCACTCCTCCAATTCCAATCCCTTTAACAAAGACGACTTGTCGGCCATACTTAAATTTGGCGCAGAGGAGCTGTTCAAGGACGAGCAGGAGCACGAGGAGGAGCTTGTTTGCGATATTGATGAAATCTTGCGCCGCGCCGAGACACGCAATGAAGACCCCGAAATGCCCGGTGATGATCTGCTTTCGGCCTTCAAGGTGGCCAGCATAGCTGCCTTCCAGGAGGACGAGCCAAGCGAGTCGGCGAGCAAGGATCAGCATGGAGCTGATGAAGAGGATGACAGTAAGGATTGGGACGACATTATACCCGAGGGCTTTCGCAAGGTCATTGAGGATCAGGCGCGTGCCAAGGAAATGGAAGATTTGTACCTGCCGCCGCGCCGCAAAACAGCCGCGGCCAATAAAAATGATGCCGCCAAGCGAGGCACTGCTAAGGGTAGCGCACGTTCCAAACAGGGCGACGATTCAGCCGATTCCGATTATGAGCTGGGCTCCGATGCTAGTGGCGCTGGTGGTGAGGAGGGGAGTGGGAGGCAACGCAAACGCGGACGTCCCGCAATGAAAGAGAAAATCAATGGCTTCACCGATGCGGAGCTCCGTCGTTTCATACGCAGTTACAAGAAGTTTCCGGCGCCGTTGCAGCGCCTGGAGGCGATTGCCTGTGATGCGGAGCTGCAGGAGAAGCCGCTGGCAGAGCTGAAGCGGATTGGCGAGATGCTGCATGATCGATGTGTGCAGTTCTTAGACGAGCACAAGGAGGAAGAAATCAAGACTGTCAAGGAAGAGGATCAGCAGGGCAACAAACAGCGACGCACCCGCGCCACTTACTCGGTTAAACTGGGCGGCGTGTCGTTCAATGCCAAAACGCTGCTTTCTTGTGAGGAAGAGCTGCAGCCGCTTAATGAGCTCATGCCCAGTTCAGCGCACGAGCGACAGCAGTGGACGTTTAACATTAAGACTCGTTCAGCCAACTTTGATGTTGACTGGGGCGCCGAGGAAGACACCCATCTATTGCGCGGCATTTATCAATATGGTATTGGCTCCTGGGAGCAAATGAAGTTGGATCCGACGCTCAAGCTTAGCGAGAAGATACTGCTCAACGACACACGCAAGCCACAAGCCAAGCACTTGCAGTCTAGAGCCGAGTATCTACTCAAGATCATCAAGAAGAATGTCGAGCTAACCAAAGGCGAACAGCGACGCCAGCGGCGACCGCGCAAACTGAAAGCCAGCCTCAACTCAAGCACGACAGCTGTCAGCACGCCGGAACGAAAGGAGGGAGCTGCTGAGGAGGGTAGCTCCTCGCTTCCGGGCGATAATAGTTCACGACAGGCTGCTGATGGCACCAGCGTTGTGGCCTCGCCTATTGCTGCCTCCGCAGCAGCGGCTGAGCACGCCAACGCACAGAAAAAGAAAAAGTCTAAAACCCGCAGTAAGAAATCAAGCGCATCCGACAACAATGGCAACAAGCCCATGCACTTTACGGCCAACAATGAGCCTCGAGCTCTTGAAGTTTTGGGTGATTTGGATCCCAGCATCTTCAATGAATGCAAGGAGAAGATGCGACCGGTGAAGAAAGCGCTCAAAGCCTTAGATCAGCCCGATCTCAGTTTGTCCGATCAGGATCAATTGCAGCACACACGTGACTGTCTATTGCAGATTGGGCGGCAAATAGACGTTTGTTTACAGCCTTACGGAGAGACCGAAAAAAAAGAGTGGCGCAGCAATCTCTGGTACTTTGTGTCCAAGTTTACGGAACTGGACGCAAAGCGTCTGTTCAAGATCTACAAACATGCCCTCAAACAGCAGACACAAAAGGATGCCGCGAATGCAGCAGATGTTGATGGCGGCAAAGCGAAACGGTCACGTACGGAAAACGGCGGCACTGCGGAGAAGGAGAAGGAGCGAGACAAGAGTGGAAAAAAGAAGAAAAAGGACAAGGATAAGGATAAGGAGCGTCAAGGACGCTATTCAGGTGCACCTGCCGAGGACAAGTCAGCTCGCCGTTTTGCCAACGATTCGCCATTGAAACGAAAACGCGATGAGAACGATGCGGAGGCCAGCGGCATGGCCATGAGCAACGCTGGCATCGGTGATAATCTTAAGTCTATGTCGTTTAAGCGCCTCAACATGGAATCGGCATCCACACGACATGGCAGCCATGAAGATCAGCGCAAGAAGCATCATAGAGGCGATGACTACTATGCAAGTGTGGGCGGTGGAGCTCCAAGTGGCTACGAGGGCAGTAGCGCACGCCGTTCGGGTCTCAACTCACCATCAGCTGTCGGCAGTAGTCGCCGCTTTGAGCCGCCGCCTGCGGCTTCGAGCTACGCAGCAGAGATGGACCGTTGGCATCAACGTGATCGGTATGTCCATAACATACAAGACGTTATCCATTTTCAAAAACTTATTCAAACTTTTTTTTAGATACAACTTTGATTACAAACGCGAACGCTATGATTCACTATATTCTCGCGGAGGCGGAGGTGCTGCCGGTAGCGGATATCATCGCGACCATCGCGAACGTGATCGCGAGCGACGACCAGACAAGCGCAGGTGAGTTTAGCTGATAGTGATTTTAAATATCGGATCTGTGAAGCCATCAAGTACAAGTGCAAGTTCATCACAAAAAGTAACTACAGTAAATTTTCTGCTTCGTAGCTCTTATTGTGTGAGCTCAAGGCAAAGAGATCCATGTTGAGATATTAATTATTAACATATGTATATTGTCGTTAGCTTAACAATTTATTGCTAGAAGCTAGGGCTATATTCAGATTTGTTTCCTTTAATGTGGATTAATTGATTCTCCCTTGCAGATACCCGTCCGCCCTGCCGCCGCATGCCTACTCGAGCCATTACCTGCCGCCCAATTATTATTTGGCGAATGGCATGGTACCTGGATTGCCGCCGCCGCCCCCGAGCTATCGGAATGAATCACGCGGCTATCCGGTAATGCCGCGCGACTATCCCGCTGACTACAGGCGCAGCGAGTACGAGCGACGTACGCAGACGTGAGGAGCAAATGTCGCTAGTTATTGTATATACATATAGGTTAGTTTTAAGCTTGGCTGTGGTGTCTGTGTCGGGCGCTGCTATTTGATAAGTCTTTCCGTTACGATCTTGACACAACGCAAGAGCGACACACTAACACACACACACCTACATACGCAGGCAAACAAGCACACACATAAATTACAAGCAATCAGAAAACGCATGAGACAGATTAGGAAACATACATAGCTAAACATATGTACAAGTAATATATAGCAGCTATTTATAAATTGTACTGTAAATTTAAATTATATATGAACCGCATATTGCGTACATGTCGGCGTTTCGGGCAAATCACGTAAATAAGATAATTTTACAATTTCCCTTGTATAAAGCATAGGCTTTAAGTTTTGTTCTTTACACCCTTTTTATACTGTACAGTTAATTACGGGCATATGCCACTTTAACAAGTCTTTTGAAAGCTTTGAAAATAACAAAAATTCTCACTATATTTATAAACACAACAATGAATAAAGCAATTATGTTAAATATCCAAAAAAGGAAAAACTAAAAAATTGTGTAAGTTTTCGTTTTTATGTTTGTGCATCTGCACTTTTATACACTATATTTATAGAGAAACCGCTAGAGGAGTCGTGTATGTATTGTAGTTATTCTTAATCTAATAAATAGGTATATAACATATGTTGTAGTATCTGAAGTCTATAAATATGTATATCATTAAATTATAAAGAATTACATCATATTTTTGAGTATTCAATGCAATTGGACGATGAAAGCAAGAATTGTGCAACGAATTTTATAATTAAAATAAGAATTAACAAATTGCCAAATCCAAAGATTTCATTTCGTATTATCTAACCTAGTTCGGTTAAGGGTATTTCTCTTTATTCAGAGCGGTAAGTTGAGTTGGGTTTTGTATCCGCGTAGTCTTCAGTACAAAAAAGGTATGTCCGTCAAGATATTAATTAATACTCGTATTTAAATTTATGTAATTTGACGACCAAATAGCATCAACTACGCCATCCAAACTTATTAACACAATTTGTTTTTTGCCGGTGCATTGTGTTTTACTATGTGTATTTGAGCATATGTATTCTAGTAAAGCCTTTAATATACATTGCTTCACAAAATGCAGTTTTAGTTCTTACAACTAGACAGTGCATTTGCCATAGGAGCAATCTTTGATCTTCTTGTTCTAGTTACAATTTGAACAGGTTGATCGGAATTTGACTACCCATTATAAATCGTTCTAACATATAATTAGAACCAGCTCGTTTTGAGCTATGTTAATGACAAACTAAATAAAGATTAAATTAGGTATATTTTTATTAATTATATATATTTTAATTAGAAGACAATAAGCATTGATGTTTTCAAAGCTTGCAATATTCGAGAACATGTGAGAAAAAACAAAGTTTAATTATGTGCAGTCACTGCATCTCAAAAATTGATGAAGCAGAGCTTATGTAAAATAAAATTACATAGTTACATATACATACGTTTTCGTACTAATATATAAGTATTATAATAAGCTAACTGAAACTATAAGGCTCTTCGCTTGGCTAGGAGCCGCTTTGGAAATGTAGCATTACAAATGCAAATTCGATTCTCGTTTGGGGACCCTCATTCAATTTCTATACACAAATCGTTGTTATTTATGGACGTGCTAGCCGAAGGTTGATTAGTCGGAGGATCATTCAAGTCTGCCGAGTTGTGTTCGAGATTGAAGGTGTTGAAGTATGGCGAATCATGATGCTCTCTCGCAAGGGCTAATTCTGTCGAATGTGGCGTTTGAGAGTCTATGAAAAAGTCTGTAATGCAGCATAAATATCGTAAAAGTTAATAAACAGAAAACATTGATTAAATAATAAGTGAAATTCAAATGAATATAACTAATCCTAATGAAATGTACCTGACAATGATATGAACTTTCGTTTAGCTTGTTTATGATAGCTAATTCGGAACTGTGTGGGTGCGTGTGCGAGTGATTTAAAAGGCGACATCGTGTAATTCGGGTGTGGTAGGCATGATTTGTACTGTAAGAAACAGCTTAGTAAATTTTTTGATGGATCTAAATGAGGCAATAAAGCATGATGGTGACCTAATACAATTAAGCGACTGATACTAACCCGATTCGACGCCGTTCCATTCGCTGACAACTGCATTATGTGAATGCTGCTGACGCGGATTGGGATGATCCTCGACGGAGCCTTCGTATAGCTCTAAATCTGTAACCAGCTGGCCGTGTTCCGTCATCTCATCAAAATCAAATATTTCGGTCACTTTGACATGGTTTGTGCTATTATCAGTGTAGTAGTAGGCATACAAGGCGTCATTGTGCGTGCTCATCTTGAGAACATGTTCAAAATTATCAACATCCGCATTAAGTGGTGTAGCACCGCTGTAAATATAACCACATTTTTTACCAATACATTTTGAAAGAGCCACCTTGAAAGACTCACCATTCATCAACCAGTATCGATACCCGCGGTCCATACAAACGACTGGAGTGCAGCAGCCCTGTGGTGTCGAAGTGTGGCTGGTCGTATAGCGGGAATTTACTAAAGAGATGCATTTGAATGGTGTTATTTAGCTGCGACACAAGTTGTCGCATCTGCTTGGTTAGCTTCGGAGTTAGACTGGTTATTTTATAGACTGTCGCCAGCAAAAAGTCCATGGGTACTGTAGCTGGCAGCGAGAGCAGCTTAATGCCACGATGCCTGAAGATCCAGTTAGCCAAGCCCTTGTTAGCCTGCTCAATGTAGTCCTGTATTACGTCCAGTACTGTCTGAGGCATATTTGAGCTCAAAGCGTCCTGCAGAAAAATAAAGAAATATATATTAATATTGAAATTGCTTTTTTTAAATAGTACTCTATGTATATCCTAGTGCGGGAATTCTGGTTGGAGCATTCTCTCTGTGAAAACTGACATATTACTAGTCTAGAATTGTTACGTACCTTTCTATGCTTTTTACATTCACGACACTCTGGATCAAATTCTGGGGGCTGGGCTACTGTTTCGGAGACAACAAAGGTTGACTGAACAGCCACACAGCGTCGGCAATTGATTAGATTGTTGCGGTGCAGAAACTGGAGGGCATCATCAAAGCCCTGCTGGCAAAACTTTGAGAGGAACTCTGGCCGTGGTGGGAAGAGAATACGCACAAATCGGTTGACATTTTGCCGTGAGATTTCTATGCTTGTGTTGGCCCAGTTGAAGTGGAACAGCTGTGAGCTTTGGTCACGCGGACAAATGTCGCTCTCTCCGCAAAACGGACTCACTGTGATAGTGTTCTCATCCAAGATGGGTAAGTTGTTCGAGAAGGCGCCGTCCATGTAGCGTACACCGCGAAAACGCGGGGGCAAAATGCCAGAGAAGCCAGGAATGAAGCAGGCGCAAAGCAGCGCTTGGAGCACCTCCTCGCGCGACTCGAACTCCGAGATGATGACGTTCTGGCCATCATAGACGCTCGTCAGTGAGATATGTAGGCGTCCATTGACACGCTTATGTGCATCCTCGGGCAGATGCTTCTGTAGGCCCTCGAGCAGGCAGGTCTGTATGTTGAACGAGGGACTGAAGGGACCGAGCGAATGGCGGCGAGCTTCGTTCACTACCCGGAAAAAATCGGATGTCATGCTGCCCAGTGGCAAATCGCAAAGTAGACAGCACGCGGCTAGAGAGCCAGCCGATGCCCCTCCGATTTTCTCCAGCAATAAATGTGGCGCATAGTTTTTAAAACACACTGCCACACCGACATGGTAAATGCCCAGAAAGCCGCAGCCAGCAAAGGACAAGTTCATAGTTCACTTCCTTTATGTTATTGTGCTCTTTGTCAAATGCCGTAACTATCAAATAATGAATCGAATTTCAGTTCACTGTCTTTATAGGTACACTAGTATTTTGATCTTTGTTACTTTTGGTGTGCTGTTTTTTGCAACGTAAATTGTTCTGATTCTTTGTTTGGGAACAGCTGACTGGAAGCAGTTACCCGATTTGTTATCGAGTTGCCAACAAATAACTGTGACTGTACGCCATTTCGAGCACACAGTGAATAAATATCGATAAAGTTGTTCTTTGTACTGAATACGAATTGATTCTAATTGTAATTGAGAATTTAATAAAATTAAGGGCGTTTTATTTTGTTAATAGTATATTTATTTTGTTAATAGTATATTTTGTCAACGTACCACAAACGGAATTCACAGGTCCAAAATATTGAATAAGAAAAGGTATATTAGAACTTTTAAAAATACTGAACTTTTGTTTGAACTTTTAAAAGTTGTAAAAATTATTAACACCAGAAATACCTACCTACATCAATTCACCAGATCTATCCTATTGTGTCCACGGATATTAAAAAAAAGGGAATATTCGAAAAATCAAAATTTATAAAATATACTATTATTATAATTCTACATGCTTATTTATGATCTCAACAAAATGTTCAAGTATAAAAATATATAGCACTTTTAAAATTACATTTACAATTTTTGCTTTTAAAAACCCTCAACATATTTAAGATTATCATGCAAACATGTTAAATACAACAACTAAGAACTAGGTGTCCTGCCACCAATTGGGACGACATTAGCGAATGGAATTGCTTGCTCCTCGGCAAAGGCTAGGAAGTCCACACTGTAGCATTGGATGAGCTTTGTGAGCATATTTACATCTGCCTCGGCCTGGTGAGCATTTGCTGCTGATTTCTCAAATGTGCGCTCGAACAGATGGGCTAATCCATAGCGTCCGCGGGGTGGAATACGTTTGGTTTGAGCACATTTCAAGCCAGCAAACAGTTGGCGGCGGGCGGTTATATCTCGGGGTGCTCGTTTGGCAGCTTCTATATCATTATTGCAATTGTCATCGTTCAACAGCTGGCGTTTACGAGTTGCTACCGCACCCTTCAGGATTGGACGCTTCGGTGTGGTTTCGTTCACTGTCTGCCAGTCGATTGCTTTGGCGGGTGGCTCGCAAATCGACGTACTGGCTGGAATTTCCGGTTCCATCTTGATATCGGTAGGCAAAACGTTTTCCACAAATATTTCATCGCTTCGCTTATCGTCGATTTCCATAAAGGCACGCAACGAATCCACGCAAAGCGTAGATGCTGGCAAATTAATATTCAGCTTGTCAAGCGCTTGCTTTATAATAGGAAAATCGAATGCCCAGCCATTATGTGCTACAAGACAAACAGGAGGGCGTAAATGCTCCAAAAATCTCAGTATCATTTGTCCCGCGTTCTCGTCCAGCTTGGATTCGCGTTCCAAAATGTAGTTGTTTAAGCCTGCCATAGGGGTGATATAATATATTTTAATTCCATGCATGACTCATTTACAGCTCAGACCTGTGATTCTCTCGGCGCTTGGGTGTACAGTCATTGACGGCTGGAAAAGTAAATTCAGCTTGTGCAGCACTCTCGGCGGAAAGGGTATAGCTTTAGTCGAGGGTGGCGTCAACTCGTCAAGTGGTTTCGACTCCTCTGGTTCCACATTGTCTTTTAAGACAGCAGGATCAAAGGCGTAGATGCACAGTTCGGTGATGCTAACCCGATTATTGTTAAATGCAGGCAAATTCGATGTTTCCAAGTCCAGCACGGCGAAGGTAGCGATTTGTGCTTTTGGTCCGTTTTCTGCATCAGCAACAGGTGTATTTGGCGCCATTAAAGTGGTGCTTAAATAAACAACGCATTTTTCAATCAACAATTGGAATAGCAGCAACATTCCAAATAAAAAAAAAAAGGC